CCCTCTCTCTCCCTCTCTCCCTCTCTCCCTCTCTCTCAAAACCATTAAGATGGCCTTCATGCAACTTTTATGACAGGTACATAATTGGTTACCTCAAAAACCAGCTTTTAATCCTCATACATAAGACAGCCATATTACAGCATGGTGTGAACAATGAGATAACTTATAATAGCTAGAGTCAGAATGGTTAGATAACTTAAAGTTCATCAGGATTTATTTTAGCATGGTTGGTTTCCCCCATCTGGTCCCATGCAGAGGTCCCATGTACACATTGGCATGCATGTAAAAGAACCATTGGCGGTTATAACTGAATAAAATGTAGGCTGAAAGGCTGCTGTGTAGTTGTAGGGTAAATTTCCCTTATAGAACACTGCATGGAGTACGAGGGCTGCAACTGTGGTGTTATTATTGTCCATCTTGTGAACCTACCCATTGAAATCACCAGAAATGGACAAAACTGGCTATAGGCTGGTCATCAAGTACCTGCAACTGAACAGACTAACCTCAACACAAATACATGCCGACATGGTCTCCACTTTAGGGGAAGTGCGCCTTCCTTTTCCACAGTAAAGACACGGGCTGTGGTTATTTGAGTGTGGCAAAGAGAGCCTTGATGATGACCAGCATCCTGGAAGGCCATCAACAGCAATCATTCAATCATTGTTGTCGTTTTTCCCGGCTCTTCATTCAAGAAAACATTGCCCAGGTGCATGGCATGGTGACGACTGATCGACGATTGACCACTCAACATATTGCTAGTGTTGAGGGCATCTCTTATGTGAGGGTTGAGCACAGTATCACCAACAATTTGGAATGACAAAATTCCTGCAGTTGCTTCGGAAAAGTAGAACGTTAAACCTTATTTCATTCCTGACAGAGAAGACATTAAGTGCCGTATGTGTTTTGGGTCTGTATTACTGATAATACTATTTGCTTTGTTACCAATCAATTATTCGACCATAGAATACCTTGAATGACTATTGTTCTTGTAGAACAAGGGAAATCGAATATATAGTACATTTATACAAAACTAAGTCATTGATTTCTTTCATGTAGAAACAAGACAAACATTTCCTTAGAAACATCTTTAGAAATTAACTCAATAATAAGATCAACCCTTCATTGAATAATAAACACATGTTTTCTCGACTATTGTCAACGCTAAGACGAGGGTTTCTTATTTATAAGTACACATTATACATTGCTTCATGGATATATAGCATAAAAATGGAATGTTGAATACCTGTGAATTAACTTGATATTTAGCAATGGTGTAGTATGCCATCTTTAAAATAATAATAAACAGATTTTATTTAGACTATTGTCAATGCTAAGAAAGTGATTCTTATTGATGAATACACATTATATATTACTTTTTATATATATTGTGCATAAAAATGGACTGTTGAATACCTGTGAATTAACTTGATATTTAGCAATGGTGTAGTATATATATGACATCTTTAAAATAATAATAAACAGATTTTATTTAGACTATTGTCAACCTAAGAGAGTGATTCTTATTGATAAATACACATTATATATTGCTTCTTGGATATATTGAGCATAAAAATGGAATGTTGAATACCTGTGAATTAACTTGACGTACAGCGATGTGTGGTATGACATTTATAAAGGAGTGGGAAAGTGACTATTGTGCATTGTTGAAATATGAAAATAATATTCTCAATTACCAGTATAGCATGTTCGTGCAGGACATTAAAGGGACAATAACACTCTTGCTGGCTTGACAGCTCCAGAAAATAAAAAATAGCCTTATTCTAAGTACTAGATGTGTTAGTGTCCTACCTGTTGTGTAAAGTATCCATTAAATCCTATTTTACTTGTCCAGAGGGTTTAAAAATATTTTTAAATCCAAGTCACATTTGAAAAGCTTTACGTCAGGCTTTTCAATTCAAATCATTTAGTTGAATTTTTCCAATTTTTTAAATTAGGTGTGTTAAGATGAAATTTGTATCATCAATTAATTGGAATATTGTAAAATAGTACAATTTGTTGACTAGAATAAAGATTGGGACATATTATTCAGTTACAACAAGAGTGGTATTGAGCCTTTAAGATCGTGAATGGACAGGGATAAATACAAACAATTTGTAGTTCGACGTGGATTTGAGTTTATAATATTATTATTTATTGCATGATACTGTTAAGAATTTTATAATATATTTTTTATAATATTATTAGCTATTGCATGATATTGTGAAGGAGACTGTGTAATTTTATAATATTTTTTATGATATTATTGACTACTGCATGATATTGTAACAGACTGGATAATTTTTATAATATTTTTTGCATGATATTGTGAAGGAGACTGCATGATTTTATAATATTTTTTTATAATATTATTAGCCATTGCATGATATATTGTGAGTCAGACTGAATAATTCCGAGCTAAATATGGATTATCCTTTGTGTAAAAATCAATCAAGGTATAGTATATGAATAGGCGTAGGAAGTCGTTGAACGCATTATTCAGGGATTAATTGTGTAATGCACAGTGTGTTAGATTTCATTGGATTATAATTATAAGGATTTTACGGATTATCCAGATTATCAGTAAGGAAGAGAGAGATTATCGCACTATAATCATGTTCAGAAAAACGGGTTTACAATTATTGGTTGGTATTGTTATTTCATTTATATGCCATTTATTTGTGTTGAGTGCATGACAGGCTAGCTCCTATCTAATATATCATTTTACATTTGTGAGGAGTGCATGATAGACTAAATCTTATTTAAGCCATCAATTACACACTTTACAATGGGTTGATCTGTATTCATTTATGGGAATTTGGTCCTTCAACCCCGGGCCCCACGGTTTAGGGGGCCCCACGGTTCAGGGAAAAAAGAGAAAAAAATTAAAATTCCAGATGAAAGTTTCACGGTAATCGATCTAGCGGCGCGAGGGCGGAAACGGAACTATTGCTCAACCTTCTTGGTGATCGGTGATTTCACTTTTTATAACAGTTCCCCGTCGTTATATGTCATTTCCGCGCATTCTATGCCATTCGGAATTGAATAGATTTCGAATGTGATCAGATAGTATGTAATCATTCTTGTATTACAGACCGTTTAATTGTGTTACGCATGCGTGGCATTTAAAAAGATATGAAATAATTTTTTCGTCGCATTAGGGGCCCTGCGATTCTAGTCAGGCCCAGGGCCCCGCTCCGGTTAAGCTGGGCTATGCCTTCAACATGGAAACAAATATACACAGACAGAGAAGCGGCAATCCAGACCAGGAGTTTGCTTTTTAATTTTGCCATCCAGTAAAATTTTGCTGCATTTTTATGACATCATAATCACAAGATATTTTTTTCAAAGAATAAGAAATTTTAAATCACGATTTTAAAAAACGAGAGCTGGGTGAAAGGTTACAAGTGAAATGAAATGAAATGAAATGAAATGGGGTTTAACGTCCTACTGTTCTGCTACTAAACTGGGCTAATGAAGACGGGCATACGCCATACAGTGTGCTATGAGGGAAATTTTGCCCGGGCAGCGGCACTACAGCCTACTCTTATATCGAATTCCAACTGCCAAGGGATCTTTTACGTGCACGCCAATATGTACACGGGACCTCGGTTTTTCATCCCAACCGAACGACTAGACAGCTGTCCTTGTCAGGACCTCTGTCCTGCATCACTGACAAGGGGAAACCATGCCGAAAATCTGGATGAACTTTCTCGGCCAATGTGTGAAAGACCTGTACAAAGCTGATGGTTTACATTTATTTTTCTACATACCGGGTAGTCCCCTTCGAGGTGAACACACTTTTACCAACGATGTTGCAACATCTGGATGATGGTAGGAAGAAATTTTCTAAAAGGTCGTTCATAGCTGACGTGACAGCATCATTACTAGGAAAATGACGACCGACTAGTTCGTATTTTTCATTTTTTGGAAACAGGTCTGTCACGGAACATCAGGAATCTGACATGTTTCTGATGTGCCGTCAAGAGCTTTGGCACCCATCTTGTAGAAACTTTTGTCATTCCTACTCGTTGGTGATAATGTGCTCAACCCTCACATGAGAGTTGCCACAACACTGGCAATATGTTGAGTGGTCAATCGTCAATCAGACATCACCATGTCATGCACCCGGGTAATGTTTTTTTGAATGGTTGCTGTTGATAGCCTTCCAGGACGAGGGTCATTGTCAAAGCTCTCTCTGCCACGCTAAAATTCCACAGCCCACTTCTTTACTGTGGAAAGAAAAGGGCATCATCCCCATCCCCTAAAGTGGAGACCAATCATGGAAATTTGATAAAGATGGGTTTAATGTCCACTCAACACAAACTAGGTCATTTTGGGACTAACGTATGGTCCAATTTTATTTCAACAATAAGGGGTCTTCAGCAGTGGAAGACCCAGAAAAAACCCACAAAGTTGGAGAGTACGGGGAAAGTGAGGTCCTGTATGAACATTGACGTTCATGTAAAAGACCCCTTGGCAGTGGGAAGTCAATGAAGAGAAGACCGAAACACTTTCTATCATAGCACACTGTACGGCATTTTCTTGAATTAAAGACACATTATGGGAGATTCGATAACGAGTTGGCAGTTAATTCTCACTATAATAGTTAAAAGCTAGATAATGTAAAGGCAATTTGCTGAAAATTTCATTCAAATTGATCCACTATAAACCGAGAAAAAAGCATTTGAAATATCCGCCTAGCCTTGATCAGAACGATAAACAGTGAAGGAAAGTTATGCAGTAAATCGGCTCATAATCCACTAAAGATCGCAGGCTAGCGATGCCATCTAGAGTTGATTATGGTCTGGATAAGTTAATTAATGTCTAATTAATAATTTAGATAACATATCAGGCGTAAAGAAAGACCTGCAAAAGACAAATTTAGCTCTTGCATAATGTATGTTTAATTAACCTGGTTAGTTCAGAATAAAAGGACATTTCACTTCATTTCTTTCTTTTTTCTTTTAATGTAACAAATGAATTTTTTTTGTATTTTTCAGGTGTCCACTTTGACCAACAGAAATATGGATGTGGATCACGAATTAAAATGTCCGATCTGTTTGGATCTGTTCACCCATCCCATTATTCTACCCTGTTCTCATGTTCTATGCCGTAGACCATGTGCCGAAAACATATTTGACTACAATTTTATTCGTTGCCCTGTGTGTCGAGACAGTTGTTATGTTAGTGGCGGAATCAGTAGTCTACCAAGAGTTATTGCCCTTGAGAACATCATCGAGAAAGTGCAAGCGGAACGAGACCGCGAAACATTGGTCACTTGTGATGCCAGTATAGAAACAGATGACAATTATTTTTGTCAACTTTGCGAAAAGCCTCCCAGACGCGCTAAAAGGTCGTGCCTGGATTGTAATCTGTTGTTTTGTATTCCGTGTTTTCGTGAGTCACATCCTCCAAATAAGGAGCCATTTAACACGCATAAGATCGTGGAACCCAAGAACGATCTTCAACCAGAGGCTCTATGTCCAGAACACGGTGAACAGTTAAGTTTATATTGTATGTCATGCAGACGTTTATTTTGTTTGGCGTGTGAGGAAAATGACAACCATAGAGATCACTCTGTTCTGTCTTTACAAGAAGCATCAACTATACTCAGGGTAAGTAGTAACTGGGCCCTGTTTCTCGAAATCTTAAAGGAGCTAAGTTGCTAATGTGTGGGACCTAGAAATTGACACAAATGTGTCACAACGTATATAATAATGTATTATGAATGTATATAAACTGATTTACATTCAATCATTTATGTTTTTACTGTAATTTCTAATCAGATAAGTTCGGCGAAATACGCCAGAAATCTCAATCGAATGGCCATTTCCAGAGTCTGGTTATACCAGTCTACACCGAAATTATTTATTGCGCATGCTCTCCAGATAAGAATATAGCGTCATCGTTTGACATGACTTATGGAATATGTCTAGCCTCGTTCTTCGAGCCCCTTGTTACAAATGACGCTGAAACGCATTATGGTACACAATTCGTGTACCAATGGTAAAATGTTTATTTTGTCTTAAATATTGGATATCAAAAGCCCATCTTTTCCCGGTAAGATCACAACATGAATGTTGATTTAATTTGACAAATAAATCGTGTTTTCAATGTTGAAGATTTTGGATGATATTGAGTTAGAGACTTAGCTACTTTAAATAAGTCTTTTTCTCAAAGAAATAAGAAATTTTTTTACAGGTGCTCCTGAAGAACAGAAAATCCAATTGGTGTGGCCTTAATTATGAGGCGAATTGGGATGGGGCCCCAGCCGAATAACGCTTTGTCGCCCACATATGTGGTATCAAATTAACCAGCATGACCCAATGAATGGTTAAGGCCACCAATTTGGGCCACTGGCGGAGCCGGGTATCCTGCTTGTTTTTATATAAAAGCAAGGATTCGTGATACTGTAAAATCCTCTGTAAGCTTTTTAGGCACCAGTCTATTTAATTTAAGATATTTTCATAAACACCGGTGCCAAAAGTAAATGATATATTTACCATGGGTGGGGTTGTTTACATCTAGAAGTATATACTATAACTCTCAGGATTATATTAGCCATTCAAATAATAACAGGCTTAATGACCTAACCTTATGGTTGAAGAATTCAGTGCTAGTATTTAAAGTAGTTAAGTCTCTAACTTAATATCATCTAAAGTCTTCGACATTGAAAACACGAATTATTTGTCAATTTAAATCAACATTGATGTTGTGATCTTACTGGGAAAAGATGGGCTTCTGATATCCAATATTTAAGACAAAATAAACATTTTACCATAATGCGTTTCAGTGCCATTTGTAACAAGGGACTCGAAGAACGAGGCTAGACATATTCCACGGGCACAAGTCATGTCAAACGATGAACCCATATTCTTATCTGGGAGCACTGGAATAACTGAAATAACCAGACGCTAGAGATTGCCATTCGATTTGTGTCAATTTCTAGGTGCCAAATATTAGTGATTTAGCTCCTTTAAGGTGGAGTGCACTGCCAATATTTATTTTTCATTTCTCCAATCTCATTCCATGTAATTGATGTATATTGCGCTATTTCTGTTGTTTGTATGGGTTTTTTGACTGTTTGTTCCGATGCCAAGTTTGAATTTAAAAACAGTTATTTGAGTTATTTATGGGATGTTTGCATGTTATCAGTGGCGCTGGCACAGAATGCTGTCATTGATGACATAGTTGAACAAGAGTTGTTGATCTGTATACACTGAGAGAGTTTATCTTGACATACAGACCAATGTTTGAATAAATAAGAATTAGGTAGGGGTGGGTGGTTGGGTGGTCTCATGCTTGCACTTTAGATTATAAGGTCTGTCATAAGGTATCTTCCTCAGATTGTATGTAACAAGGATTAGAGTCGCCTGCCCTACCTTATGGGTTTTCTCCTTTTCCTCCAGCTTTCTGCCACTGCTAAAGACCCTCTACGTGTAAGCAAAATGAAATGAAATGAAATGGGGTTTAACGTCCTACTGTTCTGCTCCTAACCTGGGCTAATGAAGACGTGCATACGCCATACAGTGTGCTATGAGGGAAATTTTGCCCGGGCAGCGGCGCTACGGCCTACTCTTATATCGAATTCCAACTGCCAAGGGATCTTTTACGTGCACATCAATATGTACACGGAACCTCGGTTTTTCGTGCCATCCGAACAACTAGACAGCTGTCCTTGTCAGGCCCTCCGTCCTGCATCACTGACAAGGAGAAACCACGCCGGAAAATCTGGATGAACTTTCTCGGCCAATGCAGGGATCGAACACCCGACCTGCAGTCTAGCAAGCCAGCGTCTTACCCACTTAGCCACGTGATCCCCTACGTGCAAGCAAATTATTGAAATAAAATTGTACCATGTGTTGGTACCAAAATGATCTAGTGGACATTAAACCCACAACCAATGGAATACTTTCTGGGGATTGCTTCCAATCTCAATTCATTCTACACGATTCTGAACATAACCATGTCTATTTCCCAATGAAGAAATTCCACCTTTTTTGTTGCTTCAAATCAATTTCATATAATTATATCAAATGAAAGATAAATTATATTATTTTAATTATGATAAAACATCACATATAAAGATGACTGTTTTTTTTCTGGTGACAGTTGGAACCCAAAATGAATATAGTCTGCAGCAATGCAGTAAGAGCAAAATTTCCCTCATGAACATATCTAATGGCGTAGGCCTATTTTCATTAACCTGGTTGATGAAGAAATGTAGTACGTTAAACTCCATTTCATTCCATATCCTTCCATTTCTATATACCCACATTTTTTTTCATATTCAATGTGAAGCACTCGAATAATGAGAGATGAGCCCTGTCAGTTTTCCCAGTTCACCGTCCATCTCTTCTGAAATGTGGGCGTATCTTGCATTGACATTTATAGACTTTTTGACGTTGAGAGCATGTGTTGATAAGTTGATATTGACATTTATAGACTTTTTGCCATTGAGAGCATGTGTTGATAAGTTGATATTGACATTTCAGCAAAGTTTAAATCAGAACATGAAGAGATTAGATGATTGTCAATGTCAGTTAAAGACAAATGTTAAAATAGAAAAAGATCATATAAAAGACTTACAGGTAGGTCTCAGTTTCCAGAATATCTGCACAATAAAATATTAAAGCTCTCTGATTATCAGCAATATCTAATTTTTTCCCAATCTGTTTAAAGTACAGATCTATATTTCGTTTCGTTTTTTTATACTTTCGATGGCCTACACTACATGAAGATCTGACAAGTTGTAGCGATAGGTCACGTCAGGGGTCAAAACACCGACTTATGACCCTATGATGTCAGACATTTGATTAACCAATCAGCTAATGTTATTAGTGGATTACCCACAGTTCCGTGCAAAACATGCCTAAAGCTCGCCGTAACAGACCGTTTCATTGGCTTATCCCTGACACCATTCAGAACCCGAGTTAAATAACAACTCTTCCAGATCCAAGTGTAGTAAAGATAAGTAAAATGAAATTTTGAACTATAAAAACAAAACGAAATAGGATCTGTGTTTTTTCCCTGCTCAATCCACGCTAATATGTACTCTTATTGATTATTTAACATTTAATTAAAAAAACAAAATCAATATATCAACGATAGATTACCACTCGGTTTTGATTTAATCGGATTAAAGAGAGACCCATCAAATTATCTTACCCAACACTTATAGGTGGCGCCAGTGCCAGATTAAGACTTATAGAGGCTCTAAGCACTTAGACGATTTTGGTGCCGCCATATATATGTAATTCAAATTATAAACTATAAACAATCTGTCAAGCGCGTGGTTAGATTTTTTCTGAGGTTTTATACACGTCATTATATTGAGACAAAGAAGGTAACAGTAAGAAAAGACACAAAACGATGAAAAACTAATTAAATATTTTGAATTTGTCATCTAACAAAGCAGTAATTCCCCCCCCGAGCATGCTGAAAGGTTTATCCACCCCTGGGTGGAACTTTATGGTTTATATATCATCTCCAGAGAATGGTCAGTGTTTTGCGGACCATTTTTTTTACATATATCTCTTTTGGAGATTTTACTTGTGCAATATTGTAGTTAGCAAGGGATTAAAAATCTGTCTCAAATGGCGATTATTCGTTTTAAAAAATCTAGCCAATCAGTCAAATTTAGTAGAGCAAAATTTGGCTTCTTAACATCTAAATTGTATTTGGCACGACGTATTGCAAATGAATGATATGCTGGAGTCGGGTTACATTCCAAAACCAATGCACATGTTTTATAATAGGCACACAATTTCTCATAATTTTTTGAATAGCATTCCCATTTGAAGAAGTTAACAACATTCCATAAAAAGGTAGCCTATATATTGGCGTATCATCTAAAAGCAATTACCAATGCATTTTGTATTTTTTGTATTACTTCTCTCGAAATCTGGAAGAATGTTGGCAAATGATGATTTTGGGGTAATTACTGAAATGTGGTTATAATTAATTTGTGGTTTATTCATTAATTGATGCCATAATCACTAATTGCTCTGAGCTGATTTTTTTTTAAGTTTAAATGCTTTGAGTGAGGTGTGATGGCATCCGTTTATTTTTTTTTATCTTCAAAGATCTCTAGTTAGCTGGGACTTCCCCATTATAAATTAAATTATCTTTAATTACTGGCATTTCTCTGTCTAATGCAGCTGACTTATCAGTTCAGATTCCAATGTAAAAGCATTCGTCTAAGGCCAGCACTCTGCCTGGAGACAAGCCCCCCCCCCCCAGGAGCTTGCACCACCTCACCTCACACCACCTCTGATATTTGTGCTACTCATTTGATAGCCTACTCAAAGTATTCAAGGTATTTATGCCCTCACCACCTCCCTGATGGAATGACGGTTAATCACATAATCTCCAATATTTTATCACTTTGTTTTTATTGTCTAAACAGCAAACTATGATCAGAAAAAGAGCTCAAATAAACAAAGAATGTGATACGCTGCTGGCAGAAGTAGAGAATAAACGGGCTTTTTTTCTCGCTGACTTGGAATATGATGAAAGAGTGCGACTAAATGATAAAGAGGAAAGCATGAAAATGATGGAGAAAATTCTAGACTCGGCAGATAGTTTGAAAGGTTTCACAAAAGAGAACATGTCCAAAAATACCACAGGTTTTCTAGAGGTATGAAGTTAGTTTACTTATTCCATAACAATAATCTCCATGGTTACATGTTAATAATATCCATGGTTACCTGTTAATAATCTCCATGCTTACCTGTCAATAATCTCCATGGTTACCTGTTAATAATCTCCATGGTTACCTGTAAATAATCTCCATGGTTACCTGTCAATATTTTTCAAAAAAAACAGATTACATGTCAATAAACAAAAATTCTAACATGGAGAGGAGATTCATTGTCAGAGTTTGAAGATAAATTTGTCTTTGAATGTGACAGATGCCCTGGCAAGGACCCCTGTCCAGTCGTTCGGATGGGAGATAAAAAGAAGGTCTTGTGTATGACATTTGCAACATGTTAAAGATTCCCTAACATGGGGGAGATTTGTTATCAGAGTTGAGAAAATTCCTCAGACTTCTATAGCCTGCTTTCACTTTGTCAATGTCATTGGTACAGGACAAAGAGCCTGGCAAGGAATAGAATCTAGTTGTTTGGATGAGAGAAAAAAAACAAAGGTCCCAGTTGAGATTCCAAACAAAAGTAGAATATTTGCAAAGCCGCTACAATCACTGATAAGGATGACATCAATGCGACTTAAGAATGTAAAATGCTCTGATGCTTTCCATAGTTTTTAATTGGTAGAACTTTTCTTTAATTTCCAGGTAGCTGCAGCAATGAATGAAAGGTGTGTATTATTATATTAATAATGTTTTATATAGAATTTAATAACAGATTTAATAGTTTAAAGGGCTAATAGCTCTAACTCAATGTTATCCACTACACTAAAAACCAGGCCCGTGGCCAGCTTGCTGGCTGCAGAGAGGCAGTGAAGGTTTTAGGGGGCCACAGTCTACAGCAGCTATGTTAGAGCTATGGTCGGCAACTTTTTTTTCAGGGGGGCAAAACATTTTTTCAGGGGGGGGGGGGGGACATTGCCCGACCCCCCCCCTCCCCCTCCCTCTCCCCACGGGCCTGCTAAAAACAACAATTAGAATTCAATATTTAAATCAGGTTTTCCATTATGTCGAGCTCCATTTGAAATGAACAAAGCAAAACATATTCCATAAGTCAATTTGGAAGAATATTGTTTTCAATCTATGCGTCCTTTTCAGACACAGAGGTTATAACTGGTGCTAATTGGAGAGAGAGAAATAGGGTTTAACGTCCAGTTGACACAAACTAGGTGATTTCGGGACTAACATGTGGTTCAATTTTATGTCAATAATTTGCTTGTGTGTAGTGGACACATAGAAAATCCACAAGGTTTGATAGGCGACGCTCCTTGTCACATATAAACGGGGAATCGAAACCCCTCCACTTGACTCAGTGATGGTCCTTATGATCTAATGTGCACATGTTAAACCATTCAGCCATCCACCCACCACCCAGTGCTAAAGAGCTAAATGGTTAGGTTTACCTGGAGAATTTGAGTGTTAATTGATAAAAAGGTAAAATAATGATAACAATTATTTTTTCAGAGTTAGAAAGACAGTAGCAGATGGTGAAAGATGTCGAGTTCAAACAATGGATTTAGTTACAATAAATAATAAAGTTGTAGATTTTAGAAACGAAAGGGCTGTGTTACGTGATGTTCACTATTTAACAGGTAAAAAAAAAGAGGGTAGAATTTTTATTATAAATACTGTAATTCATTCTTGTCTTCATAGCAAGGCTTACAGTTCAGTCAATTATATTTTTTTAGGTAGTTTGTTTAGTTGGTAATAGAAATCAATTTTTTCCAAAGAATATGAGTATTTTTAGCATTGTCTAAATATTTTTAATTACTGCTAGAGTTATGACCCTTGCTAACTTGGTAAAATCTTATGAACACTCATCCACAAAAGTTACATACCATCTTATCTGTTCGAAATGTATTTACATTTGGATAATTATTGAGTTGTTGCCCTTGATCATGTCTGTCAATGCACCAATGCTATTATACAGTAGAAAGAGTTTGCTTTTTATTAACCTAAAGGTTCACAATGTGACAAATTTTGTTGACTGCTCTGACAGCTTAGCTGCTGTGGGCCTGTATTTCTTTGCCTGGCAACCTATTTTTTTTAAATGTACATTATTTGTTTTAGTGCCATCCACACCAGTTTTAGAAGTGAATCAGTGCTGTAGAAGTGAGACTACAGTAGCCCTGGGTATTTTACCTCATACTAACTCACAAGATGTTGTCGATTATTTCGAGTCTCATTATTGTTCGGAAGAACAGAAGGGTATGGGTATTGAGGTTCGTATTTTGAATTTTACTGAAAGATATACTTCTCGGAGGGTTTCAATCCTAATACAATAGTTGGAAAATTACTTTGAAAAATATGCTTGCTACCAGAAACTTTGCTGTGTGCTATGACAGATTATTTCAATCTGATTAAAATACAGAGGCCTGTTTCACCAAATTTTAACTAAGATAAAAATCCAAATTTTAGTAATTTGATTGGATAATATTAGATTGATTTAAGTGCTTAGCCAATCAAAATTGAAGTAGCTACTAAATTTGAATTTTATCTTTAGTCAAGATTTTGTGAAACAGGCCCCAGATCTATATTTCGTTTTGTTTTTTAATACTTTCGATGGCCTACACTACATGAAGATCTGACAAGTTGTACTCGAAGGTCGTGTCAGGGGTTGTACACGCAGGTTTTGAACCTATGATGTCAGACATTGATTAATCAATCAGCGTTGATGTTTCTAGTGGTTTACCCACAATACCGTGCATAGCACGCCAAGAAGTCACAGTAACAGACCGTTTCATTGGCTAATCCCTCACTTAAACCGAAACGCTGGTAATATAACAACTCTTCCAGATACTAGTGTAGTATAGACAAGTAAAACGAAATTTTGAACTATAAAAACGAAATGAAATAGGATCTGTGTTTTAATCCGATTGGGATATTTTGTGCTGACAAAAGGGCCAACAGATAATTCTCCGGTTCAAATTAACACAGCTTGCTCCCAAAATTAACAGAATTTAATTTTATTAGAAAACTTGATCATGACAAATTGTAGATAATGTGGCGAACGTAGGATTTTTGGTTAGAGGGGGCACTGGGGTACTCAGCCAAGAAATTTGAAAAATTGGGGTGTCTGTGGTTAAAATGACCCGGTCATATTCACAGAACATGCGTCAAATATTGCTATGAAATGCAACAAAGAAAATTGGTATGCAAAATATCTACAAAATTTACAACAGAATTTCAACGATGATGATCCTGTTAATCTGTGATTTTTTCTGGCTATTTTCAGGATGTTCTGTTGTTACGGAACTGTCACGAAGAAAGACCCATAGCTAAAAATATGCCAAATGGTGCTAGTTCATTGGTTTTCTTGTATGAGAATTTGATGCCGTCAACAACCTATTTTTTCTGTGTTAGTGCATCCAATAAAGCGGGTAAAAGTTCCAATTCGGAGGTCATTCAGTGTGTGACATTGTCTACTAATGACTGTACTGTGCCTAGTAAGTAGAATTATCTTTTTATACATTCTTGAATTTTCAGTGAGCTTGTCAGAATGAAGTACTTTGTGTTAATTGTTTAGCGATTTCCCATGTGTTTTGTTTTATTTATAATGCAATAATATCAAAATCATAGTGCTATAATCGTAATCATAACGCTATAATCATAATACTCAGCCAGTGTCAAACATGGCTTCAATATTATAGAATTCAACTCTATTAAACATACATTATGCAACAGCTAAATCTGCCTATTGCAGGTCTTTCTTTAGGCCTGAAATATTATCTAAATTATTAATTAGACATTAATTAACTTATCCAGACCATTATCAACTCTCGATGCCATCGCTAGCCTGCGATATTAAGCGGATTGGAATACATGTTGTGAAATATGATTAAACGTAAAAATGGATAATCGAGACTTTGTTTTATAAAGTACAGTCTTTAGTATAATGATGATCGAGGCTAGCCCAAAAATCAAAAGCTAATATTTTGGTTCAGAGTGGATCAATTTGACTGAAATTTTCAGCATCTTCTATTTACATTATCTATTTTTTAACTATTATAGCAACAACTGTCAACTCTTTATCTGATCTCCCATAATGCCTATAGAAAATAATCAAGAGTCGTGTCGATTATTTGCTTATCTAATTTTTCAAATACATTAAAAGTTCAACGTCATTTAAGACCTTTAATTTTCTTAAATATTTCAATTTATCTTGGTTCTTAGTTGTCATTTTAGCTATTCTTTTCTCTTTTTGCATGAAATGAAATGGTGTTTAACTTCCTACTTTTTTGCACCCACTGGGCTAATGAAGACGGGCATATGCTATGCAGTATGATATGAAGGAAATTTTGCCAAGACATCCTACTCTTATATTGAATTCCAAATCCAAGGGTTCTTTTACAATGGAACTTGAATCAAGTGAAGTGGTTACAATCACAAATTTTTATGTGGCAAGGAGTGGGATCGCATATCTATCCCCATGGGTTTTCTCTCAGGGTCCTCCGATTTCCTCCTACTCTTAGTACGTAACAAGGAGTAGGGTCGCCTATCTAACCCCGTTGGTTTTGTCTCCAGGTCCTCCAATTTTCTCCCACTCTTTGTACGTAACAAGGAGTAGGGTCGCCTGCCCAACCTCGTGGGTTGTCTGCCAATGCTTAAGAAATAAAATTGAACCATATTTTAGTCCTGAAATGACCTAGTTTGTGTCGAGTGGACGTTAAACCCTCTTTTTTCTCTCTGCCTGCACTGTACTAGGCATTCTTGAGTAAGAGTTATTTCGTCGTAGTCTTGCTGTTAATTTATTTGTTCTCGTTTTTTTTTACAGTGCCAATTATCTTACAGAATCTTTGTAAATCATTTACATCGTCCATTCAGATCTTCAGTTCCAGTCCTCTAGATGTCGCTAGTGAGCAGAACATATCACACTATCTACTCTACAGACCTCTCGGACAAAACAGGATATGGCGTAGTGTCTGTCTATATGGTCGTCAAGAACATAGAGCATTCGGTCTCGCACCAAACACAGAGTACGAATTTATCATTATGGCCTGTAATCTGATTGGCGAATGTCAGTTATCCTCTCGAGTTACGCTGAAAACTGACCAATCGGCTTTCTACACATGATTTTTCATCATGGCCTGTAATCTGATTGGTGAAAGTCAGTTTTCCTCTCAAGTTATGCTGAAAACTGACCAATCGGCTTTCTACACATGATTTATTGTTATGGCTTGTACCGGTAAATCTGATTAGTGAATGTCAGATAGCCTTTCTGAAAACTGACCAATCAGCTTTCTTAGCTTGATTTAACTAAACTTGGTTATTTATATTTAAATGTGGTTGTGAAGATTTTTGGACAATTTAAAAGATTTTCAAGCTTTAGACATTTAAAAGTTTTTATTATGTTATTTTTGCTTTAATATTTTTCCCAATAGATAAAAACGAAAGTAGATTGACCAGATTAGACAAGTTGATAGTAATGATCTTTTATGTATGAATGTACATACAGTGAATGAATATACATGCTTGTTTGTATGCACATGTACGTATTTACATGTTTTTCGAGATGTTTTGGATAATTAATAGATTTTTGTGAATATTAAAATAATTTTAAGCTTTAGATATTTAAAAAATATTTATCATTGTTTTTTTGCTTAAATATTTTTCAAAACAGATAAAAACGAAAGTAGATTGACCAACAAGATGACAGTAATATTCTGTTCAGTGCAATGATGTGTATGTAAGTGTATTCAGAGCTCGGTAGACTAGATTAAGATGTTGAGAAAAGAATATTACATTTATAGGTTGATACTTTTATAACACAAATTATATTTGGAATAAGCAACTTTTATAATATAAGTTATATTGGGAATAAGCAACTTTTTTATTTAAATATTGGTGGGTTTTTTTAAATTATGTAATTAAATATGTTATTAGTGTTCCAAGCTGATATTTTAGGCCATATGTATTCTGATTTCATATGCTGTCCATATTAATTTTTATCTGAATACCACTAAGCGCTGTCAGTAAAAAGCAAGTGGTTACCATGCAAGATACGCCCACATTTTGCAAGAAATGGACAGAGAACGAGTTTAATACGTGATTTTTCCTACAATCAGGGGATATAACCCAGGAAGTTACAGTCTGATATGTGTCAATATCAACAGGAACCAAAATCGTTGGGTTATAAACATCAAAATGAGATAAAAAAAATGTGACATCTAAAGTGTCCACAAGCTAACGATATAATCAATCAAGCTATAGTCCGATACATGCCAATATCAAAAGGAACCACCGAGACCTTTGGAAGATAAATCTATATTTTAAGTTTTGTCAAAATCGGATAAAAATTGTGACCTGTAGAGTGTCCACAAACAAAATGTGGAAGGACAGGGATGCTGACAATATGTCCACATGAAAATTTGTTACAATTCTTTTTTTTTTACTTCGGTAACTAACCTATCACTTTTAATTAAACACCCTTAAATTGTTTTGCTCCTTATTTTGATCCATATGAATATTGAAATATAAAACAGTTTTATCTTTATTTTTTTGACTTCGGCAGGACTAAAAATTCTCGTCTTAAAATTCTCAATTATTCGCTGATCCTGTTGTTGTCTTGGTGAATAGAATGGTATTACCCAAATTGCAATAAGTATCGTATCGTGACTGCTGTGGCAAAACCCAGCACTACCTGCAACATACACATACCATTACAAAATGGAATTCCTTGCATATTAAAGCCATAATTATTTATATTTATTATATCAAGAGATTTATTTGTATCATATTGTCTATACGCATGTTGTGTTATAAAATTCTTAAAGATGCATTATGTAACATTTAGATAAAGAGCTAATTAAAAACTAGATAATGAAAAAGGAATTTCTTGAAAATTTCAGTCAAATCACTGAGGGCTCTTTGGAAAATAACAGAATCTTGATTGTCATGGCTACCGTTGTTGTGATGGTAAACAAAGTCTCGATTATCTATTTTTTAGTTAAATCTGTTGAAAATCTTGAGCATCCAATGGCATCGAGAGTTGATTATGGTCTTAGCAAGTTAATAAATGATTAAGTAATAATTTACATAACATTCAAGGCCTAAAGAAAGACCTGTAATGGGCAGATTTAGTTCTTGCATAATGCTTCTTTAATCTAACATTTGTTGAAAGTTATTTTTACAGCTTATCTGAAGTTGTAAATTTAAAATTTTAACAATGTTCAATTTTCATGTATATTCCTGTATATAAATTATATAGTCTTTATTATCTTTCCTTCTTTCTTTAGAAATATTTTTATTTCTTCTTAACAATTTTGTAATTATCAGAAATGTGTGACAAAAAAAATATTAGAAAGATAAGAGAGAGAGATGGGGTTTAACTCCATTCGACACAAACTAGGTCATTTCGTAACTAACATACTGTTCAATTTTATTTCAACAATTCGCTTGCTTGTAGGGGTCTTTAGCAGTGAGAGGAAACCGGAGGACCCGGAGAAAACCGATGAGTCTGGACAGGCGACCCTACTCCTTGTTACGTACATGCGGAGAATTCTGATCAGAACAAGAATACCCAAAACATAAAGGACAAGGGAACACACAGAATTTTGGAAATCCATTAACAGTAAAGGCAGTTATTCCTTTATGGCAAATATCAATAACGGTATTTAAAATACAGTATGGGCAACTTGCCAATTGTACATTATCTATACTAGATGAAATATTGGACTCGCATGAAGTATTTCACTGAAAAGCCCGTGCGGAACAGTGTCTGTATTTTAAGTTGTTTAATGGTCTCGAGCTCAAGACATAGCATAATATATTGAACCAACACTCGGCTAACGCCTCGTGCAGTATCAATATATTACTTAATGTCTCGCTCTAGACCATTAAACCATTTGTAATTTAAAGTTTATTGTTATAAGTGTACTGTACATTATAATATTCAAGCTAGTCAATTCACAACCATGATTATTTATTGATTGTATTCCTATTCGATGGTATTCCTATCTTTATAGTATATTTGATGGTATTCCTATCTTTATAGTATATTTGATGGTATTCCTATCTTTATAGTAAATTTGATGGTATTCCTATCTTTATTTGTATAATTTGATGGTATTCCTATTTTTCTGCTCAAATGACATGATTTGATTTGCTGGCGGTAGAATTTAATGTTTGAACTAATAGGAATTAAATAATTTAGAAGACAATGATTAGTTATTTATAATTAAACAGGAGGAAAGGCGGAGGTTTAACATATTTTTTTTTACACACGTGTATCGTTCAGTGTTGGGGTTTCAAAATTTTTCTCTTTGGACATTTTTACCAAAAATAAAGGGACATAACTCTGTTATTTAAGCAGACAGTTTTAGACCACACACAAAAATCATGCATTGACAAAAAATTCAAATCTGTGCGTAAAAAAAATAGGTGCACCTTGTTATTTTTCATATTTAATTCCGATGCGGTATTCAAATTTATGTCAGTAATATTCCTACAAAATTATGTGTTGTCATAATACGATAGAATGAAAGCATGCTGACTACTGCCGACCGTACTTTTTATCAAATTCACACCAGTATTATTCCTCCAAAGTTACAGTTAACAAATTTGCATACAGTTAAGCATTTTTTTTTAATAACAGTGTGTCAGTTAACTACTGATGCTACTAAGGGACATAACTGATTAAGAATTTGTGACATTATTTCATGATGGAACAAATGTAGTGCGAGTTATAAATAGACAATTTTTCCCTTAATTTTTTTCTCCCCTCTTCCTGCATTTTTGGGTTGTTTTTTTGGTCTAGAATTGGAGAAAAGGGATCAAATTTGCAATTTCATAGCAGTTTTGGGTAATACTGATGATATTACAGCGGAGGGATAGGGGGTGTAAAGTGTCTTTCTGCAGAGCAATCATTGTGTCGGAAGTGAGATTTTCACCCCTGTCAACATCAAATCCCCGTAGCAAAAAATCTAAATGGTCAACCCCCTACAAATTTATGATGAGGATATTGCCAAATGTGGTCCTCATTGTGCTTATAAAGATTGAAACCAACGAAATGTTGAGCAAATAGCTACAGCCTGTGATGTTACAGTAATTTAACATTGAAGTCAATGGGCAAATAATTGCTAGTCTGAGTCCTGATGTTGTGATTATCCTATCTGGACCGTCCATGGCCATCACCCCTGGAAGAGTCATTTGGCCATTTTGAGTTCATATTATAATTCCATTCAAACGTGAGGCAAGAGTATTTTCCTGGACAGTTGTATTTCCATCTATTCTGCTTCGAATTGTTGCAAGTGGGTCCCAAAATAATGAAATCGGGTTTAATGTCCCACTGTTCTGCTATGACTGGACTAATGTAGATGGGCATACTTTGCCCAGAGAACGGCGCTATGGCCTACTCTTATATCAAATTCCAACTGCCAAGGGTTCTTTTACGAGCATGCCAATGTGTACATGGGACCTTGGATTTTCGTCTAATCCGACAAGGGGGAACCACCGCTGACAAGGGGGAACCACGGCGGAAAATCCAAATGAAATTTCTCGGCCAACGCAGGGATCAAACACGTGACCCCCAGTTACTCACTGAGCCACTGTAACTCCAAGTGGGTCCCAGGTTAGGAATATCTAAATTCTACTGTAGACTCCATTTTCCAAACTTTGTTGTCTAGTTCAGCCCATTTACAAACACAGATTGGGACTTATTTCACTTTATTTTGGTACTGACATATGTAGTTCATCTATTTACAGCAATAACCTGACAAAAGTTTGAACACAAAATCTCCAAACTGACCTGTAGAGGGATAACTCTGTGAATAATGACACCAGTTACATGTTTGATCGCGAACTGATAAAAAAAAAGTTGACTGGATCAATGGGGCCTCCATTATAACATGTCAGCATATATAATAACAAGATAATATAAATATTGATCACATTTATATACTTTCTATATAAAGCATTACAGTTATAAACTTAGTAATATTACCATATTTAATAAAACACCAGAATTTCTGAACAAAGAATAGATAGGACAGTATAAAGGGATGTGTCAACACAATAATTTGGTCATTCTGAGACTAAAATGTGGTTATTATGACGAATAATTTTGCTCAGACAGTGGTGTATGCACCTACTGTTCTTATCTTCAATAATCATGGGTTCTTTTACATGCACTTCTGTATCTAAATGGGTGGATCTTTTTTTTTTCGTACCATCCGAACATCTTGGCAACATTGTCCATGATAGTTGCAATCCATTGAACAACAATATGTATTTAAAGCACTTTTAATTCTAACATAGCAGCCACATGTTCCCACCACAAGACATCATCCAAATCACACAGGGACAAATGTAATCAGGTGTTCCACAAAGAGTAAGCATACATTAACTTTTCACAACAACAATATAAACAAATTTTCCTGTCGTGGAATCGAAATATTACAAGAGCTTTATAAATTTAACAAATTCAAAAAAAATCACCGGATTATCCAACTCCTTTTCAAAAATAAAGGCCCATAAATCTTAAGAAAAACAATCCTTGTGGGCAATAACAAATTTTAAATGTACCGTTCTGTTAGATCACTACAAGGGCCAGATTAAGGCATGGGCTTCCAGGTCTGTAACAGATACTGGAGGCCCCCCCATTCATTTATTTATATTTTTTATAAACAATATATTTATTCAGGTTGACTGAATGGGATTGGTGAACAGGCTTAGCCTATGTAAAACCCCTCTCCCTATAGATTTATCTAAAAGTTATTTCATCGTGAATCTGAAGTCAAAGTATGAATACTCTAAACTGTCTATTGTAGGTACGTGTGACGTAACGCATCAGTACAAGATGCGAATCTAGTTTGCATTTGTTTTTAAATTTAATCCGAGTGTACAGCCAAAAATTTGTACATGGTGGAAATATTCTGGCACTGTAGATTATTTAGGCCTCATTCAAGCTAGTCAATTCACAACCATGATTATTTATTGATTGTATTCCTATTCGATGGTATTCCTATCTTTATAGTATATTTGATGGTATTCCTATCTTTATAGTATATTTGATGGTATTCCTATCTTTATAGTAAATTTGATGGTATTCCTATCTTTATTTGTATAATTTGATGGTATTCCTATCTTTATTTGTATAATTTGATGGTATTCCTATTTTTCTGCTCAAATGACATGATTTGATTTGCTGGCGGTAGAATTTAATGTTTGAACTAATAGGAATTAAATAATTTAGAAGACAATGATTAGTTATTTATAATTAAACAGGAGGAAAGGCGGAGGTTTAACATATTTTTTTTTACACACGTGTATCGTTCAGTGTTGGGGTTTCAAAATTTTTCTCTTTGGACATTTTTACCAAAAATAAAGGGACATAACTCTGTTATTTAAGCAGACAGTTTTAGACCACACACAAAAATCATGCATTGACAAAAAATTCAAATCTGTGCGTAAAAAAAATAGGTGCACCTTGTTATTTTTCATATTTAATTCCGATGCGGTATTCAAATTTATGTCAGTAATATTCCTACAAAATTATGTGTTGTCATAATACGATAGAATGAAAGCATGCTGACTACTGCCGACCGTACTTTTTATCAAATTCACACCAGTATTATTCCTCCAAAGTTACAGTTAACAAATTTGCATACAGTTAAGCATTTTTTTTTAATAACAGTGTGTCAGTTAACTACTGATGCTACTAAGGGACATAACTGATTAAGAATTTGTGACATTATTTCATGATGGAACAAATGTAGTGCGAGTTATAAATAGACAATTTTTCCCTTAATTTTTTTCTCCCCTCTTCCTGCATTTTTGGGTTGTTTTTTTGGTCTAGAATTGGAGAAAAGGGATCAAATTTGCAATTTCATAGCAGTTTTGGGTAATACTGATGATATTACAGCGGAGGGATAGGGGGTGTAAAGTGTCTTTCTGCAGAGCAATCATTGTGTCGGAAGTGAGATTTTCACCCCTGTCAACATCAAATCCCCGTAGCAAAAAATCTAAATGGTCAACCCCCTACAAATTTATGATGAGGATATTGCCAAATGTGGTCCTCATTGTGCTTATAAAGATTGAAACCAACGAAATGTTGAGCAAATAGCTACAGCCTGTGATGTTACAGTAATTTAACATTGAAGTCAATGGGCAAATAATTGCTAGTCTGAGTCCTGATGTTGTGATTATCCTATCTGGACCGTCCATGGCCATCACCCCTGGAAGAGTCATTTGGCCATTTTGAGTTCATATTATAATTCCATTCAAACGTGAGGCAAGAGTATTTTCCTGGACAGTTGTATTTCCATCTATTCTGCTTCGAATTGTTGCAAGTGGGTCCCAAAATAATGAAATCGGGTTTAATGTCCCACTGTTCTGCTATGACTGGACTAATGTAGATGGGCATACTTTGCCCAGAGAACGGCGCTATGGCCTACTCTTATATCAAATTCCAACTGCCAAGGGTTCTTTTACGAGCATGCCAATGTGTACATGGGACCTTGGATTTTCGTCTAATCCGACAAGGGGGAACCACCGCTGACAAGGGGGAACCACGGCGGAAAATCCAAATGAAATTTCTCGGCCAACGCAGGGATCAAACACGTGACCCCCAGTTACTCACTGAGCCACTGTAACTCCAAGTGGGTCCCAGGTTAGGAATATCTAAATTCTACTGTAGACTCCATTTTCCAAACTTTGTTGTCTAGTTCAGCCCATTTACAAACACAGATTGGGACTTATTTCACTTTATTTTGGTACTGACATATGTAGTTCATCTATTTACAGCAATAACCTGACAAAAGTTTGAACACAAAATCTCCAAACTGACCTGTAGAGGGATAACTCTGTGAATAATGACACCAGTTACATGTTTGATCGCGAACTGATAAAAAAAAAGTTGACTGGATCAATGGGGCCTCCATTATAACATGTCAGCATATATAATAACAAGATAATATAAATATTGATCACATTTATATACTTTCTATATAAAGCATTACAGTTATAAACTTAGTAATATTACCATATTTAATAAAACACCAGAATTTCTGAACAAAGAATAGATAGGACAGTATAAAGGGATGTGTCAACACAATAATTTGGTCATTCTGAGACTAAAATGTGGTTATTATGACGAATAATTTTGCTCAGACAGTGGTGTATGCACCTACTGTTCTTATCTTCAATAATCATGGGTTCTTTTACATGCACTTCTGTATCTAAATGGGTGGATCTTTTTTTTTTCGTACCATCCGAACATCTTGGCAACATTGTCCATGATAGTTGCAATCCATTGAACAACAATATGTATTTAAAGCACTTTTAATTCTAACATAGCAGCCACATGTTCCCACCACAAGACATCATCCAAATCACACAGGGACAAATGTAATCAGGTGTTCCACAAAGAGTAAGCATACATTAACTTTTCACAACAACAATATAAACAAATTTTCCTGTCGTGGAATCGAAATATTACAAGAGCTTTATAAATTTAACAAATTCAAAAAAAATCACCGGATTATCCAACTCCTTTTCAAAAATAAAGGCCCATAAATCTTAAGAAAAACAATCCTTGTGGGCAATAACAAATTTTAAATGTACCGTTCTGTTAGATCACTACAAGGGCCAGATTAAGGCATGGGCTTCCAGGTCTGTAACAGATACTGGAGGCCCCCCCATTCATTTATTTATATTTTTTATAAACAATATATTTATTCAGGTTGACTGAATGGGATTGGTGAACAGGCTTAGCCTATGTAAAACCCCTCTCCCTATAGATTTATCTAAAAGTTATTTCATCGTGAATCTGAAGTCAAAGTATGAATACTCTAAACTGTCTATTGTAGGTACGTGTGACGTAACGCATCAGTACAAGATGCGAATCTAGTTTGCATTTGTTTTTAAATTTAATCCGAGTGTACAGCCAAAAATTTGTACATGGTGGAAATATTCTGGCACTGTAGATTATTTAGGCCTCATTCAAGCTAGTCAATTCACAACCATGATTATTTATTGATTGTATTCCTATTCGATGGTATTCCTATCTTTATAGTATATTTGATGGTATTCCTATCTTTATAGTATATTTGATGGTATTCCTATCTTTATAGTAAATTTGATGGTATTCCTATCTTTATTTGTATAATTTGATGGTATTCCTATCTTTATTTGTATAATTTGATGGTATTCCTATTTTTCTGCTCAAATGACATGATTTGATTTGCTGGCGGTAGAATTTAATGTTTGAACTAATAGGAATTAAATAATTTAGAAGACAATGATTAGTTATTTATAATTAAACAGGAGGAAAGGCGGAGGTTTAACATATTTTTTTTTACACACGTGTATCGTTCAGTGTTGGGGTTTCAGTGTTGGGGTTTCAAAATTTTTCTCTTTGGACATTTTTACCAAAAATAAAGGGACATAACTCTGTTATTTAAGCAGACAGTTTTAGACCACACACAAAAATCATGCATTGACAAAAAATTCAAATCTGTGCGTAAAAAAAATAGGTGCACCTTGTTATTTTTCATATTTAATTCCAATGCGGTATTCAAATTTATGTCAGTAATATTCCTACAAAATTATGTGTTGTCATAATACGATAGAATGAAAGCATGCTGACTACTGCCGACCGTACTTTTTATCAAATTCACACCAGTATTATTCCTCCAAAATTACAGTTAACAAATTTGCATACAGTTAAGCATTTTTTTTTAATAACAGTGTGTCAGTTAACTACTGATGCTACTAAGGGACATAACTGATTAAGAATTTGTGACATTATTTCATGATGGAACAAATGTAGTGCGAGTTATAAATAGACAATTTTTCCCTTAATTTTTTTCTCCCCTCTTCCTGCATTTTTGGGTTGTTTTTTTGGTCTAGAATTGGAGAAAAGGGATCAAATTTGCAATTTCATAGCAGTTTTGGGTAATACTGATGATATTACAGCGGAGGGATAGGGGGTGTAAAGTGTCTTTCTGCAGAGCAATCATTGTGTCGGAAGTGAGATTTTCACCCCTGTCAACATCAAATCCCCGCAGCAAAAAATCTAAATGGTCAACCCCCTACAAATTTATGATGAGGATATTGCCAAATGTGGTCCTCATTGTGCTTATAAAGATTGAAACCAACGAAATGTTGAGCAAATAGCTACAGCCTGTGATGTTACAGTAATTTAACATTGAAGTCAATGGGCAAATAATTGCTAGTCTGAGTCCTGATGTTGTGATTATCCTATCTGGACCGTCCATGGCCATCACCCCTGGAAGAGTCATTTGGCCATTTTGAGTTCATATTATAATTCCATTCAAACGTGAGGCAAGAGTATTTTCCTGGACAGTGGTATTTCCATCTATTCTGCTTCGAATTGTTGCAAGTGGGTCCCAAAATAATGAAATCGGGTTTAATGTCCTACTGTTCTGCTATGACTGGACTAATGTAGATGGGCATACTTTGCCCAGAGAACGGCGCTATGGCCTACTCTTATATCAAATTCCAACTGCCAAGGGTTCTTTTACGAGCATGCCAATGTGTACATGGGACCTTGGATTTTCGTCTAATCCGACAAGGGGGAACCACCGCTGACAAGGGGGAACCACGGCGGAAAATCCAAATGAAATTTCTCGGCCAACGCAGGGATCAAACACGTGACCCCCAGTTACTCACTGAGCCACTGTAACTCCAAGTGGGTCCCAGGTTAGGAATATCTAAATTCTACTGTAGACTCCATTTTCCAAACTTTGTTGTCTAGTTCAGCCCATTTACAAACACAGATTGGGACTTATTTCACTTTATTTTGGTACTGACATATGTAGTTCATCTATTTTCAGCAATAACCTGACAAAAGTTTGAACACAAAATCTCCAAACTGACCTGTAGAGGGATAACTCTGTGAATAATGACACCAGTTACATGTTTGATCGCGAACTGATAAAAAAAAAGTTGACTGGATCAATGGGGCCTCCATTATAACATGTCAGCATATATAATAACAAGATAATATAAATATTGATCACATTTATATACTTTCTATATAAAGCATTACAGTTATAAACTTAGTAATATTACCATATTTAATAAAACACCAGAATTTCTGAACAAAGAATAGATAGGACAGTATAAAGGGATGTGTCAACACAATAATTTGGTCATTCTGAGACTAAAATGTGGTTATTATGACGAATAATTTTGCTCAGACAGTGGTGTATGCACCTACTGTTCTTATCTTCAATAATCATGGGTTCTTTTACATGCACTTCTGTATCTAAATGGGTGGATCTTTTTTTTTTCGTACCATCCGAACATCTTGGCAACATTGTCCATGATAGTTGCAATCCATTGAACAACAATATGTATTTAAAGCACTTTTAATTCTAACATAGCAGCCACATGTTCCCACCACAAGACATCATCCAAATCACACAGGGACAAATGTAATCAGGTGTTCCACAAAGAGTAAGCATACATTAACTTTTCACAACAACAATATAAACAAATTTTCCTGTCGTGGAATCGAAATATTACAAGAGCTTTATAAATTTAACAAATTCAAAAAAAATCACCGGATTATCCAACTCCTTTTCAAAAATAAAGGCCCATAAATCTTAAGAAAAACAATCCTTGTGGGCAATAACAAATTTTAAATGTACCGTTCTGTTAGATCACTACAAGGGCCAGATTAAGGCATGGGCTTCCAGGTCTGTAACAGATACTGGAGGCCCCCCCATTCATTTATTTATATTTTTTATAAACAATATATTTATTCAGGTTGACTGAATGGGATTGGTGAACAGGCTTAGCCTATGTAAAACCCCTCTCCCTATAGATTTATCTAAAAGTTATTTCATCGTGAATCTGAAGTCAAAGTATGAATACTCTAAACTGTCTATTGTAGGTACGTGTGACGTAACGCATCAGTACAAGATGCGAATCTAGTTTGCATTTGTTTTTAAATTTAATCCGAGTGTACAGCCAAAAATTTGTACTTGGTGGAAATATTCTGGCACTGTAGATTATTTAGGCCTCATCACCATAAAAGAAAAACGGCAATGTATACCTTGGTCGATCGGTGAGTAAACATTTTCTAGGTTCATAACACATAACTTGTCTTTCTGGGAGCCTCAGAGTACCTGTATCGGAGGGGCCTACACAATCTTAATCCAGCTCTGTACATGAAGGTTTATAAAGACGAAGCATAAAAATGTGAAATAAGCTATTCATGATTAAGTTTAAAAAAAAGGCCCTAAATTACCAGATAAAATGACTGGAAAAAATGATTGTAGTTGTTTATCTGAAACCACCGCTTTTGTTGTTGACTGGTCGTTTGAGAAACTTTGGTGATGCCATGTATGCCTTGATTTGCGGTAAAGCCTCAAAGCGTTTTAAAAATGCTTGTAATTTGGGAAATTTGTCCAAACATCCAGGAGTCATTAACAGATGCTGGTCCAACAATTCATACATTGGAAAATCACAAACAGTTACCTGAAAGATGAAAGGAATAGTGCAGGTTGCTGAAAATGGTTCTTCAGGCAAGAGAGATAACTCTATGACACAGTGCAAATCATCAAGGACACAGCTCACCATTAATTCCTACACTGGTTACCCATGAATTAAATCGCAAAGTTATTTTTAGTCTTTCTCTCACTTTTCCTTCAGTTATCAGGTCCTCTGTCCTGCAGGGAGTCACGGTGGCTGGTTGGTTAAGACGCTGGCTCGCTAGGCTGGAGGTCTGGTGTTCGATCCCTGCATTTGCGGAGAAAGTGCATCTGGATTTTCCGACTTGGTTCCCCCTTGTCAGTGGTGCAGAACGGAGGGCTTGACAAGGACAGCTGTCTAGTCCTTCGGATGAGACGAAAAACCGAGGTCCCGTGTATACATTGGAATGCACGTAAAAGATCCCATGGCAGTTGGAATTCGATAGTGCCGCTGCCCGGGCAAAATTTCCCTCATAGCACACTGTATGGCGAATGCCCGTCTGCATTAGCCCAGCATAGGAGCAGAACAGTAGGACGTTAAACCCCATTTCATTTCATTTCTCTGTCCTACACCACTGACAAGGGGGAATCACACCAGAAAACCCTGATTAATTTTCACAGTCAAAACAGGGATCAAACACAGGACCTCCATGTTAGTGAGCCGACGTCTTACTCCCTTTCTTGGTTAACGCGTGTATACAACTTTGGGTATTACTAGATGGTAGGCTAAGGCAACTCAATATCAAATCACTAACTTCACAAATATTAACTGTTGAATTTCAAACATGTTTTTTAAGACGAAACGAAATTTAGTTAAGCCGGTGAAACAAAGTTGGAATTTTTGAAAAAATTTGATTGTAATTGGGCTAGGCAAAGCAATAAATGAATGAAGATTCAAAGATTCCAATTTTTACCCCAGCCATCCACCCTCAGCTTACCTAAATTTTGTTTTGTCTTATATAGCCAAGTTACGTAAATTGTGCGTTACCCTACATTTAGATTTCAATGGTGTCTGCCAAGCCGTTTAGCAGAAGGGGAAGTATCTTTAACAGCATGTTGTGTTGCACATACTGACTGTAGTGAGGTACGCAAGGTCTTATTTTTTTTCACTGAAAACATCCCTCTACATTGTTCAGATGTTCACAGAGACTGACACATGACCGTATTGCAGTAAAAAGTTGCTCCGTAAAATTGACTTAGGACCAAAGTTTTTCGACAATGATTCGATAGAATGGTTCATGAACGTACAGGGTGAGTGTAATGAGACCTACATTCAGAGCTGAACAACTTAAAGTCATGCAGTAGTTTCAAAACAATACCTACTTTATCTCCACCAGCAAACCATTGTTTATCACCAAGATACTTTTCAAATTTAGTCAGAGTAGTTGGTAACTTTTCAAAGTAGTCGCCTTTTAAACTTTCCTATAAAAAAAATTTGTTTACAGCGTTAGTAGTCAAATTGGAAATTAAGATACATTATGAATGATTTAGATAAAGAGCTGGCCGTTCCTGCTTATATGTAGTTCAAAAATACATACAGTAATGAAAATGAATACGGTATATTGAAAATTTAATTCAGATCACTGTATTCTGAGTGAAGTTATCACTGATTGAAGTTTTGACAAGATTCGTCATAGATTGTTTATTATCGTAAAAACGGTACTTGTTATTCGAGACTTAGTCTTGATTCACCATTTTTAAATTAAATCATTAAATGGCAACTGTGTTTTAATCTGTTTAAATCTCTACCATCCAATGTTCTAGAGAGTTGATTATAAGCTTGCCATGTGAATAAATGTCTAAATAATAGTTTATATAACGTTTGAAGCCAAAATATAGATCCGCAAAAGGCAGATTTAGCTCTTACATAATGCATCTTTAAGCATATTCATGTAAATAATTAATCACAATATCAATGTTTCATGCATTAACCCATACTACCAAGTATTCCAATTGATTATTTTAATTAGAAAAACAAAATCAAAATGTCAACGGAACATAACCTTCCTTTAATCAGATAAAAAGCAGGCCCATAAAAAGATTTTACCAAACACTTATAGGTGACATTATCTGTTTATCATATCTTTGTTAATACTGATTACGGTTCGGCGATATACCGGTTTTACAGTATATCATGATAAAATTCATATCAGATTTTTTAAAAATATTGAAAAACCGGTACATAGTGATAACCAAAATTATTGCAATATGATAATTATCATGTCCAATTTTGGTAATAATACATAATTATGCTATATCATCATCTATTAATAGAATTAAATTCATCAGGCAAAAATAGTATTATTAAGTACTAGCTAGTCTAGGGTAAATTTCCATCATGGCGTCTACCGACGTTAGCAGTAATAATTTGACATCAAGCGACGATTTTCAGGCCAAGTATTCAAAATTTTACTACTTAAGACACACGTATAAATTATCACGATAATATCGTTTATTGTGATATTTGGTCAATTATTATCACAATATTTTCATTATTGCCCAACCCTACTTAAACGTAAGAACCCGAAAGAAAATCAATAGAAAACTTACATAATTTGGGTTGTAAACAACACGAACTAGACCATTTCTGAAGTCCATGGCATTTTCTAACATCATATCACAAGCCACTTTCTCCTTTGTTGTATTACCCACTGTAAACATAAGTTGAAATCAATTTATTATTTCTTCTTTCTATCAAAATGTGTGTTACCTAAGTCAAATTCTGGTGCCAATATACAGAATTCTACAGAATTAATTTCAATAAAGGTGTAATATCAAAAAAACTTAAGCCCAACAGTAGCGAAAGAGAGAGAGAGAATTGGGGTTTAACGTCCACTTGACACAAACTAGGTCATTTCGTGGCTAATGCATGTATATGATTCAATTTTATTTCAATAATTCGCTTGCGCTTAGGGGTCTTTAGCAGTGGGAGGAAACCCACGAGGTTGGACAGGTGACCCTACTCCTTTTCACGTACAACCGTGGAATCGCCTAATAGTAGAGAGAGAGAGAGAGAAATGAGGTTTAATGTCCACTCAACACAAGCTAGGTCATTTCGGGACTAACATGGTTTTAATTTTATTTCAATAATTCGCTTGCGCATAGGGGTCTTTAGCAGTGGGAGGAAACCGGACGACCCGGAGAAAACCCTACTCCTTGTCACGTACAACTGGAGATTCGAAACTACGGCAGTTGACTCAATGACAAGCCTTATGGTACAGCATGCACGTGCTAACCATTCAGCCATCCAACCTCCCCCCAACAGTAACACTAACCTGGCTAATGAAATGATACAGGGTTTATTGTCCTACATATCTGCATCGACTGAGCTAAAGAAGATGGAATGGTGATAATTAGGCCTAGCATATGCCATACAGTGTGCTATGAGGGGAATTTTACCCTGTCACCAATTAAATTCAAACTGAAGAGGGTTCTTTTACGTGCACAATAACATGTACACTGGACTGCATTTTTTTAGTCTATCAGAATGACTAGGCACTGTTCCTTGCCAGGCCCTCCCGTCCTGAATCACTAACAAGGAAAAACCACACTGGAAAAAATCTTGGGTATCAGTGACTAGTTTCATTCGTATTAAATTATCAAAGTTTACTTACATAAATTATGCTATCAAAGTTTACTTCCATAAATTATCAAATTTTACTTCCATAAATTATCAAAGTTTACTTCCATAAATTATTAAAGTTTACTTCCATAAATTATTAAAGTTTACTTACATAAATCTAAATCATGCTATCAAAGTTTACTTGCATAAATTATCAAAGTTTACTTGCATAAATTTTCAAAGTTTACTTGCATAATTTATCAAAGTTTAATTCCATAAATTATGCTATAAAGTTTATTGACATAAATCATCAAAGTTTACTTACATAAATTATGTTTTCCTGCTATATATCTTAATATAGTATTACTCTGAGTCATAGAAATATCCCCATCAATAAAATATGGCAGCTGAAATACAGAAATACACATACTCTGAGAATATTGAGAATAATCAAAAAACTAAATTATGCCAAAAGCAATCATACAGGTACATATTTAGCAGGAAAAGGTGTGGATCCATATTCTTAAGCCAAATCGGCTCAGTCAATATGGCACTGGGGCTGGGTCACTCAGAAAGTCTTGGTTCAAATCGTGGAAAATCACCGAGTCAGTCGCATAGGACAAAAAAAAAATTAAGATTATAAATTGAAATCAATGTAGGCCTTAGTTCCACTGTTAAGGAGGTGTTTGGTGTTTTGTGGCTTAACGTGTATGCATGAAATCACAAGGTCTGTCATTGAGTCAATTGGTGTTGTTTCGTTTTCCCGCTTGTATGTGACAAGGAGCAGGGTCGCCTGTCCAATCTCAAGGGTTTTCTTTGAGTCCTCCCAGTGCTAAAAACCCCTATGTGCAAGCGAATTATCGAAATAAAATTGAACCACATGTTAGTCCCAAAATGACCAATTGTGGGTCCTGTGTTTGACAAGAGAACCTACCCCTCATCACGTACAAGTTGGGAATCCAAATCATGCCTCTTGACTCAATAACAGACCTAATGATTTAAAGTGCATGCTTGACCATTCGACCCCCCCCTCCCCTGTTAACCCAATGAAGTGTAAAATACTTACATTAGGGAAATCTAAACCAAGTGTAAATTTGACACTTGTCCATTCCTCAACACTGAATTCTGGGCCTATAAAAAAAATTGTCAAATTCTACAGATTTCACATGGACTAATTCTAATACACAAGATATTGGGACTCTTTTTTCCACTCTATTATTTGCCAGTCTTGATTGAGTGGCTGTGACATTGATTTAAAAGTACTCTGATGGATTATTTAACATTCTATTTAAAATAAAAAGATAGGTTGCCAGGCAACAAAACATACACCCAAAGCAGTTAAATCGCCAGAGCAGTCAACAATGGTTGTCACATATTTATCCTTTGTAGGTAAATGGGGACATTTACAAGACAATTTCATACAGATGAGAGATTATAATTTTTGTCATTTGAGGGTTCACACGGTTCTACAATCAGAAACAAGGGCCTTAACTCTGCGAGTAATCTACAGAAATTGTTGAAATTCAACAGGCTTTTCCGTTTTACTAATTTAAATAATGCATATAAATTTCATACAGATCAGATGATAATCTTTTGTCGTTTGAGCATTTGCAAAGTTCAACAAAGTGAATCATGGGTCATAACTCTAGATGTAATGGAAATTGCTGAAATTCAATAGGCTTCTTCATTTCACTAATCTAAATGATGCATGTACATTTCATACAGATCGGTAGATAGCTTTTGTTGTTAGTGAGTTCACAAGGTTCCGATTTTTAAGTAGATCAAAACGGTTCAGCCATTTAAGGATTTAATTTAAAAATGGAGAAGCGAGGCTAAGACTCGAATGACCAGTACAGTGGTTATGATCAATGAACACATCTTGTCAAAACTAAAACCATTGATAACTTCGCTCAAAATAAAGTAATGGAATTTTCAATATATTCATTTAATTTGCATTTTCTATTTTTGAAATATTATAGAGAGAACAGCCAGCTCTTTATCTAAATCTTACATAATGTCCCTTTAATTAAATGAAATGAAATGGAGTTTAACGTCCTACTGTTCTGCTCCTAACCTGGGCTAATGAAGACGGGCATACGCCATACAGTGTGCTATGAGGGAAATTTTGCCCGGACAGCGGCACTACGGCCTACTCTTATATCGAATTCCAACTGCCAAGGGATCTTTTACGTGCACGCCAATGTGTACACAGGACCTCGGTTTTTCGTCCCATCCGAACGACTAGACAGCTTTCCTTGTCAGCCCCTCCGTCCTGCATCACTGACAAGGGAGAATCACGCCGGAAAATCTGGATGAACTTTCTCGGCCAATGCAGGGATCGAACACCCGACCTCCAGGCTAGCGAGCTAGCGTCTTACCCACTTAGCCACGTGATCCCCCCCCTTTAATTAAAAAATCTTTCTTACCATCTCCTTGTTCATATTGCTTATCGGTAAACTCTTCACCAGCATAGTTCAACAGAAGTCGGATGGGCTGTGCAAGCTGTAAAAAACGAGGTAAGATGTATAGTTACCAATTAAATCAAACAATTGCACAATAGATACATGTTTTAATAGGTTATCATGTAGGCCAACAACACAATCACTCTATTTGAACAACCCAGGATGTTGAAGCTATTGAAGGTTACTGAAGTAATTATGTTATATTCATCACAGCTTGCATTTGTATAGATATTTACATAATGCTACAGACTACAGTGACATTGCACTTTTTATAGTCAAGACAACTTTAGGTTGATATGTAAAATTCCAAATACTGTCTGTATTGGTACATGTATACATGGGGGTGGGGTCAATTGGTTAGCGTGTGCGCTTTGCATCATAAGGTCTGCCATTGAGTCAACTGGCGTGGTTCGATTCCCCGGTTGTACGTGACAAGGAGTAGGGTCACCTGAACAACCTCATGGGTTTTCTCCGGGTCCTCCGGTTTCCTCTCACTGCTAAAAACACCTACGCGCAAGTGAATTATTGAAAAAAAAATTAACCATGTTATTCCTGTAATGACCTAGTTTGTGTCAAGTGGATGTTAAACCCCATTTCTCTCTCTCTCATGTGTATACATGCATCCACCCTTTCCTATCGAGTTATGTCAGCTTATTAATAAACATGCTATTATATGAGCTTATTCCAAGCCTCTTATCGTGACAATACCGGGTATCTAATTTTTTACAGATGCATTATGTAAGAGCTAAATCTGTCTATTGCAGGTTTATATTTTTGGCTTCAAATGGAATAAATAAATTATTATTCAGACATTTCTTTACATGGCAAACCTATAATCAAATTTCTAAGACATTAGAACGCAGAGATTTAAACAGATTGAAATACAATCGCCATTTAATGATTTAATTTAAAAATGAAGTCTTGATTAACAAGTAACATTGCTAAGATAAAAAACAATCTGCACTACATCTTCCAACACCCATACCTTCACTCAGAATAACATATACATGTACATGTAATTTGAATGAAATTTTCAATATTCATTTTTTATTATCTAATTTTTTAACGATTTGGGCCTATAGCAAGAACGACCTGGCCTCGAGTTCACAAAGCATTCTCAGACTTAAGTTGAGAATTTACTCAAACTTGTTCACCTTATTTTAACTAAAATATAGCCCTTTATAAACCTTTTGTTGTTTTAATGTATCAGATACATCCATAAGAAACTATGTGCAAAGTTTTGTGAACTCGGGGCTTAATCTTACATATATAATGCATCTTTACGGCTTATTATATCAAATTGAAAACAAAATTTCAGTGGTATATCTACATGTAGCTTGGAATCAATCGAATTAAAATGAGGCCAGGCCATCAAAAGATTTTACTAAAAGTTTAAAAGTGACTCTGGCTTATTTTGTTGCTGTTGGCTGAAGATGCAAAATGTTGCAAAATTTTCATTTCATGGCAGATTTTTCTTATTAGAGTCTTAATCTTAATTTTCACAATATTGATATTGTAGACAGTCTGCATGGGATTTAAATGACATTCATTACAAAGGTAAGACGCTTTAATTACTGGATCAGTTTTGCGTTCCATTATATAAATCAACCACCAAAGATATCAAATTTGGAAAAAAAATGCGCAAAAAAACCCCCAAAAAACATGAGTAAAAATATGCAGTGTGTTATGACGGTAATGCCTATCAGTATCACCAGAGAGGACCTTTTACGTGCACTCCAAGTCCAATGTGTAAATGGCACATCGGTTTTGGTCCTATCCGAACAACTAGACAGTTGTCCTTGTCAGGTCATCCGTCCTGCACCACTGACGAGGGGAAACCACGCCTGAAAATCCACGCGAACTTTCTCAGCCACCACCGGGAGAGAACTCGTGACCTCCATGCTAGCAAGCCAAGCCAGCGTCTTGGTCTTCGCTCCAGACACGGTGGCTACGCGTAAAAAGATATATTGCTATTAATTATAATAATATCACAAATACTTACACCCCTAATTTTCCAGTATCCTAGAGTAGGCATGTTGAATATCAGTGAAAGTATGCAGTACTTCAGCTATCACGGCCAACTAATTTTATCAAGAATATCTATTGACTCAATTTATTTATACTGTCACAAACCGGATATATATATATATATTTGTGTCTCACATATCCAGTCACATTTTCCGTTAAAACCCACTGTCTGGATAATCTAATAAGTTGGGAGCGCCGCAGAGTGTTCATTGTTTCTAAGAAACCGGAATTACGTTTTGGATCCTGAATTTCTTTAATTTAGATACTGATTGTTCTTAATGTTATCTTTCTCTGTGAATAATAACAGATAAATTTAAGAATAAACAATATTCCTGTTTATGAGTGTCTGATATTATTTTTATAATGCGGAAGAAAGATTGAAAAAGACTGGCCCTAGCAATGAAGATAAATCTATAATTATTCCAAGAATTGGTCATTGAGGATTCCTGGAAGAAATGTATTTCTAGAGAATACATATTCCCGGAAATATTGATTTCAAAAGCATTTTTATTTGCAAAGATCGTTAAGTGCGATTTGGGACGTTCCAACAAAGTGCACTCGGACTGCCGCCCTGACAATGAATTTTAATATCCCCGTCTTGTTTAATCATTATTGCCTTGGCCTAACAATTTATAAACTCCTGCGGATTTTACTGCAAAACGTCACTGCATATTTTGGCTCTAAATGTACGATGTCCCGGATAGCTTACCCACGTTTGGGACACCAAGGTTTTTAGACCGAACCCTAATCTTAACCTTTCTAGTCGAAACCTAGGGGGCTAATCAGCCTCGATCGCGTTATTGGTTTAATAGTTTTGTTCTATATTTTTCAGAAATCCGTATTATACCACAGGTTAGATTAGGGCTGGAGGTGGGGGGGGGGACTGACCGCGTTGTAGCCAGGGACGCCACTATAAGGGACCCCCAAATTAGTTTTTTAAAAAGTTTTATCATAAATAAATACATGTATATGTTTGTGCCAAATAAATCTATCTATCTACCACACTGACATACACATATGTGTTTGTGTGACGGATGTCCAGAATATGAACATTTTCACCGCTGATGCAAGGGCCCCGGTTGAATTTTCAGCAGGGTCCCATATGCATGTCGTTTCGCAACTGTTTTACGTTATGGAATCGTAAATATGCCCAATTATTGATTGCAATTAGCTGTCACAGTAAGTTAGAATTATGCTGTAAGTTACAATTCCTAATACATGTAATTATCTATTTGGGAACAGTTTTCGTCCATTTATTCAAAATTGCATTTTCCGAAATTAAACCTACTTTAACAACAACTCACTTCCTGGTTTAAATATAGGCCTACCGGTAAAGTTTTACCGGGTTCATTCAATCTGTCAGTATCATGGCTGCTATTAAGTGCAGGGACACGTCTGCATATAACAATAGTCTCACGGATACACAGAACCTCATAGAATCTGCTTGAATGACAGCTTAGAGACTATTATAGCTTATAACGGGAAATGATATTTGCAGTTTGACTGTGGAATATGCTGGAATAAATCACTCACACTGGGCTCGATGACATTAGCGTCTGTGTCTATGTTTCAATACTGAGCCATGTATACTATACTTACTATAAATATACTGTTCATATTAGTGCGTTTTTCTTTGTTAAAAAAATGAAATGAAATGGGATTTAACGATTTACTTTTCTGCACCGACTGGGCTAATAAAGACGAGCACACGCCCTGTGGTGTGTTATCATAGTTATGAGAGAATTTTGCCCGGGCAGCAGCGCTACGACATTCTCTTATTTTGAATTCCAACTATAGAGATTTATTTTATGTGCATGTCAACATGTAAACGTGACCTTGGTTTTTGTCCCACCTGAATGACTAGACCCTCTGGCATGCACCACTGACAAGGGAAAACCCCGGGGAAATTGTCAGGAAAGTGGTGTCTATATATATATATTCATTTTATTCTTTTTATGTGAGAGTCTTTAATTGTTTGTTTTCAGGTAATTTATATTATAATTCTCACCTGTTCCCCCTTTATGTCACATGTGTTCCCGGTACTAAAACACGTGACTGTAAGGTAAACTATAACCCGCTATCAACCTGGTCCGTTAAACAAAATTATTTCACACAGTGATAATGCGATTGGCGGTTATATACTTTCCTCTTTACAGATACAACTATATACAATGGCGAATCCTGGTGGGGGCCTTAGGGGCTAGGGCCCCCACCCCCATTACCCCCCCCCCTTAAAAAAATAACAGCATAATCAATTCCTTTATTGTTCAGATCCTGAGAAACGCGTCTAATTTCTGGGGTTTTTTGCTGGTTAGGGTGGTGTAGCAGGTGAAATTGAATGTAATATGTGTCACAATTCCCATTGACACCTCAACTTTTCAAAATTATGAACAAAATATCCTGCATCCGCCATCATATCACGTATAACAAATGAAATGTAATGGGGTTTAACGTCCTACTGCTCCGACTGGGATAATGAAGACGGGCATACGTCATGTAGTGTGCTATGAGGAAAATTTCCCCCGACGGCGGCGTTACTGCCTACTTATATCGAATTCCAACTGCCAAGGGATCTTTTACTACGTGCACGCCAATGTGTACACATGACCTCGGTTTTTTTTACCCTATGCGAACGACTAGAGAGTCGTCCCTTGTCAGACCCTCCGTCCTGCACCACTGACATGCACGGGGAAACCACGCCTGAAAATCCCTATCAACTTTCTTGACCAACACCGGGAGCGACCCCGCGACCTCTAGGCTAGCGAGTCAGCGTCTTACTCTCTTAGCCACCATGAATGTATTATTATACAGAAATGTGAAGGACAGAGATAACGTATATAGCAATCTCATCGTAAATTCATGAATACTAAGATATAGGACTTTTATATTTTAATCTCCTGACCCGGTCGTATCTTTCTTAATAAAAGCGGATCAGGTTATCGTATTTCATGTTTAAACATACATTAAACAAGAGCTAAATCCGTCTATTGCAGGTTTTTCTTTGGGCCTAGTTAAATGTTATATAAATTATTAATTAGATATTTATTAACATGACAAGACCATAATCAACTCTCGATCGGATGGCTTCGATTTTAATTAAAATAGAACGGTTCGGCCGTTTAAAGGGGCATTATGGAAGATTATATAAAGGGCTGACAGTTCTCACTATAATAGTAAAAAGCTAGATAATGTAAAGGGGATATGCTGAAATTTTCAGTCAAATTGATCCACTCTGATCCGAGATATTAGCTTTTGAATTTTAAAACAACATAGACTCGATTATCCAATTTCGTATTTAATCATCCAGTGAAAATCCGACACATAAGATGGCAGCGGGAGTTGATTAAGGTCTTTTTAGATTAATAAATGTCTAATTAACAGTTTATATCACATTTCAGGTCCAAAGAAAGACCTGAACTAGACAGATTTAGCTCTTGCATAATGTATGTCAATGCTAATACGTCATGAAGCGTGCTATGAGAAAATTGTGCCTGGTAAGCGGTGCTACGGCCTACCCTTTTATCGATTCCTACTTCCATTTTACGTGCACGCCATCGTATACACTAAAGACCTCGTTTTATGTCCCATCCGAATGGATAGACACCGTTCCTTGTTAAGAGAGAGAGAGAAATGGTGTTTAACGTCCACTCGACACAACCTAGGTCATTTCGGGACTGAAATATAGTTCAATTGTATATATGGTTCAATTTTATTTTCATAATTCGCTTGCGCGTAGGGGTCTTTAGCAGTGGGAGGAAACCGGAGGACTCGGAGAAAACCCACGAGGCTGGACAGGCGACCCTACTCCTTGTCACGTACAACCGGGGAATCCGTTCCTTGTTAAACCATTCGTCCTGCATCACTGCCAAGGGGAAACAGCGCTGGAAAACCTCAAGGTATTTTCTCGGCCAAAGCCATAATATACACAAGGACAGCATACAGTATAAATTGTAGTATACGAATTGTAACACTTTTATGGCCAGGACATAAACAAGTTAGATATTACATAAACCGACGGAAATGTGTGATATTACATGAACTATAGGTTAATAAACACATTTAAATTGTCAAGTATCTTCTTCATGGTCAGAAATATATCACATCCTCTCTTGTTTATGAATCTGCACCAGCAATGATGAAAAGTATTCTGGAAACCAGATTAGGTATAATAATCCCCGCACGTAAGGTATGGGGCATGTCTATTCAATACTTGGGAATTTGGAACTTTGGCCAGTCTATGACGTAAGCAGCAGTAAGGGTTGGGTCCTATAAAAGAGCTAAACCAGGGCTTGAAAAGTCAGACACCGTTGAGATTTTTTAGACGCCGCATGACTCTTTAGACACCATTAGATACCGTTTGATTCTTAGGAGAGCCATAATGTGAGGTTTCCATAAGGAAATTCGCTTTGAAAGTTTAGTGGGAGTGTGGTAGACTAAGAGACGTGTTATTCTATTTTAGTCTATAGATACTTGTAACCATGTTTCCTGCTTTGACATAAAATGTTGAAAAGAAACTATATTGTATTGTTGTTCATGATTACGTACATAACAAGTGAAGTCCAATAGTTGTCTATAAGTGTGTGATGTGTCATTCTAGCTTCTGTCGTCGACTTGAAAACTACAAGTTTTCAGTGTTTTTCATATAATGATTTGAAGGAGTCCATAGGTTTTTCCAGAGTATTTGTCTTATAAAGTTTTATCTCCGGTTTTTTAGACCAGGACCGAATGTATTTGTATCAAGAATTATGTATCTATAATATAATAAACGTCTGATCCAGCGTTGCGACAGGCTTAATGCATAATTTTTGTGATTTATTGTCGTAGTTGTATATGGGCGAGAATAGACCAAGTGAAGTCCAATAGTTAGTGAAATTCAAGAGTGGAGAATTACAATAATATCCACGCCAGAGTCAAACCTAGACGATCACAGGCTAACAATAGATGTGTAGCAGGGAATGTGTCACACGTCGGATGTGGAATATGATTTGGTGGCACCGCTTTCCATATTCAACCGACGGGCAATGCTACAATAATCATAAAGTTAAATTAATTTGAATAAGAGTTTATTTCATCTGTTTTGACATATTAAATTAAATGTCATCCTTTAATTCTCAGATTTCTTAGGACCTGGGGGGGGGGACGGGTGCATGTCATCAAGGAGTTGACCCTCTGTAACCCCTAACCTCTGCACGCCACTGGTTGTACCTGATAAATTTTACATGAAAGTCTATTCACCATTAGAGAAAATTGGCATAAGGGTTGTGGATTGGATGCTTCATATACATAGGTGTTGTCATGAAAAGTTTATTCCTAGGTAAAGATTCAAATCGACTTAAAAATGCTCTTAATTTGGGAAATTTATCCAAACAAGTCGGCGCCACTTCACGATTCTGATCCAGTAATTCATAGAAAGGAAAATCACAAACCGTGATCTGAAAAATAAAAATAGTTTTGAAAAATCTTTAAAGCAAAATAAATAAGTCATTCTCTAATTTAGACATAGCACTGAAGGGTAGACCGGGACACGGAGTTTTCGCCATAAAGCCAAAGGATACAGGGGAACTAACTGGTGGTAATACTAATAGGGAAGTCATGTTCGTGAAGCAACGACCGCGAGTTTTAAAAAAAACATCTAGCCGTTGCTAAATTAGTCAGCAATTCCCGGACTTACAGGTATGTTATCCCCCTTTACCACTGGCACGTGAATAATAGCGTTGTCCAAATATAGGTCGTGACACAAAGACACTCTAATCAAACTTGGCGACCTCCACGAAACTTTAACATTGAACCAACCTTGAACTTTGCAACGCGATTATCACAGGTAGACATTTTATCTGGAAAGCGCGAGACTTGGTATTCGCGATGCCAGTTTCTATCGAGGAATCTGAGAGGTCCCCAGTTGGGTCAATAGCCAGTGACGAAATATGCAGGGATTACGTGAAGGGCTTAATAAGATGTATTGAGTTAAAAGAGAGAAAGAAATGGGGTTTAACGTCCACTCGACACAAACTAGGTCATTTCGGGACTAACATACGGTTTATTTATTTTTTTATTTCAATAATTCGCTTGCGCGTAGGTGTCTTTAGCAGTGGGAGGAAACCGGAGGACCCGGAGAAAACCCACGAGGTTGGACAGGCGACCCTACTCCTTGTATTGAGTTAAAGCGATATCAAGCCTTCTATTGAAGATGATAGGAACTATGTTACTGAACATGCTTAGGGTTAGGACTAAGGTGCACCAACTTAGGGATCGTGTTTAAAACTTCGGTGTTCAAAACGTCGATAGATGAAACGTCGTATATGGCCACTTCGGACAAGTCAATTAACATAAATTAAACCAGAAGTGGACACTAATCATTTACACAGAATAAATTTAAAAAAAGATTTCTGTGAGAAAAGAATTCCTCAAAGTCAGATTCGTAGTGTGATGTTATATCACGACCCATGTTACACAATCATACAGTATTTAGACTTTATAGATATACGATGGAAAATAAAAACAACACTCTTACATTTTCACCAGCGAACCATGGTTTATCACCAAGATATTTTTCGAATCCAGTCAGGGTTGTGGGAAGATAGTTAGAGAAGTAGTCTCCCTTTAAATTTTCCTGTAACAGATTAAATATGCAAGTGGATGAATACGTACTAACCTGCTTAATATCCAGACCAACAAGCTAGAGAGAGAGATAAAGAGAGAGAGAGAGAACGGGGAGGAGGCGAACTTACTCCTTGAGATCGAAACCACGTCACTCATTGACAGGAAATTTAATCTGAAGCGCATGTGTTAGACCACTTGACCACCTGCCCTCCAGACGAACGATAAAAACCAATCATGTTATAACGAAGTTATCTTAAATGTATTATGTAAGAGCTAACTATACTTATTACACGGTTTTATTTTGGCTTCAAATGTTATATAAATTATTATTTAGACATCTATTCACATGACAAGCCTATAATCAACTCTCTGGACAATCGGGTGACGCGGATGTAAACAGATTAAAATACGATCGCCATTTAATGATTTAATTTAGAAGTGGAGAAACGAGGCCGAGTCTCGATTAACAAGTAATATTGCTGCGATAATAAACAATCTAAGTCAAAGCTTCAAACAGTAATTTGATTGAAATTTTCAATATATTAATTTTAAATTATCTATTTTTGAACTATTATACTAAGAACTGCCAGCTCTTTATCTAAATCTTACATAATGTCTCTTTAATATGATTAGATCTCTTTTAATCCGGGGGATTAGCGCGTGGGTGCGGCATCATAAGGTCTGTCATTGAATTAACTGGCGTGGTTTCGATTCCACGGTTGTACGTGATAAGGAGTAGGGTCACCTGTGCGACCCCGTGGGTTTTCTTCGGGTCCTCCGGTTCCCCACACTGCTAAAGACCCCTACGCACAAGTGAATTATTGAAATAAAATTGAACCATATGTTAGTCCCGAAATGCCCTAGTTTATGTCGAGTGGACGTTAAACACACATAGACTCTCTCTCTCTCTCTCTCTCTCTTTTAAACCGAACAAAATGTATGTCGCAGTGCAGCTGTCCGGGCAAAATTTCCCTCATAGCACACTGTATATGGTGTACATGTTGGTAAAGAACCCATGACCGATGGAATTTGAAATAGGCGTAGGCACAATTTCCCTATTCTTGGCAGGCCTGTTCAAATGGTGCTTGAAATGAGCCATACGCGTGACAAACACTTAACTAGGTAACACAGACAGTGCTTAACTTGAAAGAAAAAAAGAATAAAGATGCATTATGTAAGATTTTGATGTATATCTGGCAGTTCTCGCTATATTAAATAAATGAACAATGTCTCGATATTTATTTTAAATTAAATCATTAACTGCCAATGGTATTTAAATATGCTGAAAATGAAAACCATCCGAAATTCTAGAGAGTTGATTATGAGTCTGACATGTAAATAAATGACTAATTAATGATTTATATAACATTTGGTGCCAAACGAAAGATCTGAAACAGGCAGATTTTGCTCTTGAATAATGCATCTTTAATGAAAACTTACATAGTCTGGATTGTATGAAACATAAACTGACATATTTCTGAAGTCCATGGCCGTTTCTACCATCATATCACACGTAATCTTTTCTTTAAGGGTTGAACCCACTAGAGAATAAAAAATATATACTTATAAAATAATACACGTCAAGATAAAACTGATATACAGAGAGAACTGGGGTTTAACGTCCATTGAACTAACAAATTGAAGTTTATTATCTTTTTATTAAATACAGAGATTTGGTGATGCTCGCGGCCAACTCCTTAATTGTATAGCCCCGACCCCAACCCCAACCCACCCCATCCCCTCCCAAGGCTTAGGTATAGAGCCAACCCTGCCCTTGCTTATCAAAACACGAATCCCCATTCACACTGGCTTTTCCGACTGTATACGACATCTTGTACATCAAAGTCTAAATCGACCTGCTTCTTTGAAATCGATGCTCGGGTACGTCGCCCCCTCTGCCCCCATACACACCGCTGCCATTGTTACTTACTACACAAATTGCTTGTTACTTACACAAATTCCTTGTATACTTACATAAGCTGCTTGTATACTTACACAAATTATATTTATGTCCCAGATATCTAATTATAGTATTACTCTGAGTTATTCTTACATCATCATCAATATAGTAGGGAAGCTGAAAAGATAAATTCAACAATTTTGTTTTTTTGGGTTGACACGATAATACACAGGCGGCGAAAAAACACACATTCAAACGGACCGGAATTACCTGAATGTAGCGAGGTATACCGATTGCATCAGCCTATTTAAATAACAGAAGAGCCTGTGTTAGTCTGTTTAAGTAACAGAAGGGCTTGTATTAGTCTGTATAAGTTACATAAGGGCTTGTATTGTCTTATCATATTTTCAAATTTTATCATTGCTTGATAATGACTAGAGAAGCCTAGTCGAAACGTCGCTCAGTCATAAGCAGTAATTGTATTCCATAGAATTGTGACCTGTATGGTCTGTTGAAGTAACAGAGGGATTTCTATTGGTTTCTTTAAGTATACAGGCCTGTTTAAGTAATAGAAGGGCCTGTATAAGCCTATTTATATGACATATTCAAGCTCTAATATATTTATATGAAACCCAGAAGAACTCGAATTGGCGGGCGTAGTTAATTTCTAAAGAGATCAGCGAATATTGAATATGCTACCATCTCTTAAACTTACATTAGGAAAATCTAAACCTAGATTGTTCTCTACTTTTTTCCAGTCTTCCCGGCTGTATTCTGGTGCTGAAAACAAAACAAAAAAATACTGTTTAATTGTTCCTCGAATCAAGATGCAAAGAGAGGGGACGCAGCCGGTACATGAAGCCCCATTGGAGCTCATACAATTATCTGTTTAACTTTTTTTTACTTCGGCATAACCGGTATTGGTGCAACAATGCCCACGATCCAACCCCCAATACTCTAGCTATGCATGTGGAGCAAAGTTAGACACCCTAATTTTTGCATAGTTCTTGCACATTCGTTTGTCTGGAATAAGTGAAAATCCGATATTAAATCAATAAGTGGCATTCCTAAATGAAACCAATTAATGTCATTCCGCTGTGAAATCAATTGGTGACATCCCGATATTCAATCCATGGTTCATTTCGATATGAAACTAATTAGTGACCTTCCGATATTAAAATCCAATACTAACAAAATCAGTGACATGCCGATATTCAATCAATTGCTGACATGCCGATATTCAATCAATTGCTGACATTCTGATATGTAACCAATTAATGACATTCCACTATGAAATCAAATGCTGACATTCCGACACTAAATCAATTAGTGACATTCCGATATGAAATAAATTAGTGACATTTTGACGACATTACCTAAACTTACCGGGACCGATTACATACAGTTGATCCGTGAAGTCTTCATCAACATAATGTAGTAAAAATCTAATTGGCTGAGCTAGCTGCAAAATGAATATCATTAACGGTGTCGTAAAAAACAAAGTGTTCTTTTTTATATGAAATGAAATGAAATGTGGTTTAACGTCCTACTGTTCTGCTCCGACTCGGCTAATCAAGACGGGCATACGCCATACAGTGTGCCATGAAAGACGTTTGCCCCGCCAGCGGCATGCATACGGTCTACTCTTATTTTGAATTTCAACTGTCAATGGATCATTTACGTGTACGCCAATGTGTATATGGGACCTCGGTTTTTCGTCCCAACCGCACGGAATTATCAGTGAGCTGTAATTCGACCATGTATCTGTTATCGCTCGTTCCTTCAGTCAGTTATATATAAGGATAACTCGTGTCTTCCATTTTTTGCGTCACTTCCCGTTTCTTCAAATCTTCTTTACGCATCTACCGTAGCAATGATCTCTGTGTTAAAATTATATTTGAAATGTGTTTAACCATGCGTTCTGTCACATATGTGATAATGGCTGACACTAACATTGTCCTTTAAAATACGAATGTTTCTCTTACCCCTCTTACGTTCCAATAACCCAGTGTAGATCTAGGCATTTTAAATTCAGTTTATAAGAAAACTGGAGAAAGTGCGAGTTTATGTCAACACACCTGCCATACAGGCCCCTCTCTATTATATGTCGTTTTGGGGAAAGGAGGACAAAGTACTTCAATGTAGAGTGATCTCAAATGTGTCCACAACGATGTCAAAGATTGACCTAATTTTGATAGGTGGCGTTGATGTTATAGTCTACGGATAGCTTATCAAACATAAAAGTACAAACGTATACAATGCTCAAGTTTTATTTTAATATAATTTATTTTTACTAAGTCATATTATTTCATTATGTATTATTTAATCAATGAATTATTTAATTAAAACGTTAATACTGAAAACTAATTAATATGTCACAGATTTCACGCGTGCCTGCATACTGCACACATCGATCCACCCCAGTGATTACGTTTCTAGAGTAAGGAAAGATTTGTAATATAAGAATCTTCAATGAAAAAAATGGAATTAAACAGTTAGAAGGTTTAATGGATCCATGTGATTTAAAGCGTCGACACATGGATCCAAAATTTTCACAATCTACAACAGAATACAATAATAATAAATAATAATAATAATAGCTTTATTTCCAATCAAGGGTCCACAGGGGACATGGTACAGAGCAAACAAAGAGAGAAAACCCAAATGACAGTCAAGTAAGAAAATATAATAGTATACATAGCTCCCAACAGGGGAGATACACATATAAGTACCTTATGCACTAAGGCTTCATGCCGAAAAAAAAGGGCTCATGAGAACATTATTATTAATCATGAAAGGGAGATAAATCCACTTAACTCTTAATGTTACAGATCAAATGAGGTCAAATGAATAGAGACGTCTTTAATATATACTAAATATTCGTATCATCCCAAATCGACAATAAATCAGTGAGAAAAAGGAAAATCTAAGTAATGGCAATCTAATTAACATAAAATTTACGACATAATGGATTCTTCAATGTTTTGATGGTGATCATGAAGAAAATAGGCCTACATCTGTTCTCAGGAATCCGATAAGATTTTCAAAAAAAAGATCAGTAGAATTATAGATTGTTATTCCACAAAGTCGAAAGGTATGTTAGATTTTTCATTCAGTCAAGTTAGAGCGATCAGTTTATTGCCGTACTTTGAGCTCCAAACCCGATAGAAATGAAGGCGGAAGTGGCCATAATAGTTTTAGAGATCCTGCGTCGCGACAAACGGGGCCGATTTGTCTAGCTGTAGGGTGTAGACAGGCAGCCTAAGTTTGGGATGGCGTGCCTGCGCATCCACACTGATCAGCAGAGAATATTCGCTAGACCGCTACAATCACTGACAGGTTAATTACCACACAATATTAACTTTTTTCCTTCTGCAAATTAAATTCTAAAACATTTTTTGAAGCATTGGAAAAATTAGTAAAGGTGTTTGAAGTATACCTGGATAAGAAATACTTTTCCTATTTAGCGTAATTAATGGGTATATAATATGAGTAAAAGGCATCATTGTGCCGCACCTTGTTACGTTACTACGTCTTATGTGAACAATGTATGCGCCATCGAGCCAATGATCGACGTATGACGTGACGTCACATGTAGAAGGCATTTGATCTTATAAAGGACAGTCACCTTACACCGGGTTATAAGAAGGATTTCGCAATGCCTCTTCGAAACAGATTTCCAGTGATCATATGGACACAGCTCACCAAATATTCCTGCGCCCAATGTAGGGCGAAAGTTAATTTTAGTCCTCTTTTTTTTTCGTTTTTTCCTTTTTTTGCATTGCGATTTTTGTTGACTTTTTGGTGTTTGAAAACACATTTTCTGCCAAGTTTTGGTGAATATTCATGATTTTGAGGCGGAAGGATTTATAAATAGTTAAAGAAGTTGGTTAATTTGAAATGTTGATATGAAAATTGCATGTATACTTGTCTCTACAGCTTGTGTATCTCAAGTTTTTCATGATGAACATCATACATGCTAAGAGACGAGAATTAGCATTAAAGTCAATGGGGAAATCACTGGTGATCTGTGGCCATGTTTATCATTAACTCAAATGTTAATGTATGTATCAGCATTTTCTGTTAATTAACTTCTGTTATGATATAGATATTTACCTTAGGAAATAACCTGATAAGATTTTAGCGCTAGACGATAATAAAGTGTGAATAAAGAGTGTTTGGTGGCCGAGTTTCAAAAGAACAATCGAACTATTGGATATGCACAATACTAGATCTTTGTTCGATCTGAGAAATATCTTTCTCAAGGGTTAGGGTTAGGGTTCGGGTTAGGTTTATAAATTACATGTCAAACGTACAAATTGAAGCTGTAAGAACGGTGGATTGTGGCTAAAACTATTCTAAGGGGTTAGGGTTAGAACTGTGGGTATAAACAGGGAAAGATATTTCTCAGATCGAACAAAGATCTAGCACCGTGCTGGGAATATCCAGGGATCAAATTCCGACGTGATCGAGCCAAGAAAACCTTTATTCGTCTGAGGTAGTGCCCAAGTTTCTGATATGTCGCTGGGATGAAACAAAATTCTGAGGTCCCCAAAACACACTGGCATTGTACATTAGAGATCCCGTAGTCGAGGAAGAGTACGCTGAAACACCACTGTCCAGACATATTCCTCAAGTCATGTCAAACGGAGACGGCATATTCTTACCTGGAGAGCATGCGCAATAAATACTATCAGTGTAGACTGGAATAACCAGACGCTAGAGATTGCCATTCGATTAAGACTTCTGACGTATTTCGCCGAACATAACTGATTTGAAATCAGAGCAAAAAGGGAAATGATTGAATGTAAATCCGTTTATATACATTCATATTACATTATTATATGTGTCAATTTCTAGGTCCCAAATATTAGCGATTTAGCTCCTTTAAGCTCCACTCCAGTCTTGACGATTCTTATTCTTGCGTAATAGGCACAGAATCCAAACACGCACAAGTAAAATAACTACATACATGTATGCATTTGTATGTAGATCGTTGTCATTGCGAGCAGACATAGACACACACAATCTAAACACGAAAGCAAATATAATTACATTTGCATTTGAATAATTGTGAACACATAATAAAACCAGTATTGCCATGTTAAAGCATTATTTATTGAAAATTAAACATTTGTCCAGATTTGATGTTTACAAACACGATTAGACTATGATAATAGTTATTATAATAAAGGGTTTAACAGAATGTTTTAACGGGTTATTGTGAATCATTTTAATCACGATTTCCTCCACAGATAATTACTGATGTTAACAAATCAATCAGAACAGGATAACCCAACAATGTGAGGGTGTAGGGGCATCTGTGTAGATGTGACCAGAGTCTGGGAGATGGAAAGAGAGATGGTCCAATTCTATTTCAATAATTCGATTGCGCGTAGTGGTCTTTAGCAGTGTGAAGAAACCGGAGAACCCGGAAAGAACCCACGAGGTTGGACAGGCGACCTTAATCCATCCCACGCACAAGCGCAGAATCCAAACCACGCCACTGGACTCAATGACAGACCGTATGGTCTCATGCGCACGCGTTAAACCACTAGACCACCCAACCTTCCTCGAACGGAATGGTAGTTCTGCATATTAACATATACTTGGGGAAACTGTGTAAGAATTTGTAATTGTATAGTACTATAAGATTATACAAAAAATATAGTTTGTTATCAAAATGATACTTGGCCAGACCATCTGTGTAAGAGTCTGTAATTCCATTGCAAAACGATTACACAAACAAGCAATTTTGTTACCAACCACAATTGGACAGACTCTGTCTGTATAATAATAATAATAATGAACATTTATAAAGGGCCAACATCCATCTAGATTAGCTGCACTGATGCGCTTTTACAATATTCACAATAGCTGAAAAAATAAGATGTCACATTGGTATAAAGTTTAAAGATCATACTGGAGAATCACGAAAAAAAAAAATGATTCTGGGTTTGATTATACAGAATCGAAACATTTACCGCTAGTTTGGTTTGCTTCTAAATATGATAATGCAATAATTATAAATTCGTTGAACAAAGGCCATGATATTTTCTACTGTAGTCATACCTTTTCCTACTAATGATTCTAAGCATTACAATTTGATCAATATGAAATATATTTATCATTAGCGAAAGTTGGCATTTTTATTGTGAATTGGATGCTTCATATACATGGGTGTTGTCATGAATAGTTTATTCCTAGGTAAAGATTCAAATCGACTTAAAAATGCTCTTAATTTGGGGTATTTATCCAAACAAGTCGGCGCCACTAGACGATGTTGATCCAGTAATTCATATAACGGAAAATCACAAACGGTGATCTGAAATAAATAGAACAGAAACATGAAATAAAACATAACACAGACCCTTCATTTAAAGATACATCATGGAAGATAAGATAAAGATCAGATGGCAGTTCTCACTATAATAGTTAAAAACCAGATAATGTAAAGAGAATTTGCTGAAAAATTTTAGTCAAATTGATCCACTCTGAACCGAGAATTTAGCGATTGAATTTTAAGCCTAGCCCCGATCATCATTACTAAAGTCGGTACGATAAAAACATAGTCTCGATTATCCATTTTTTTTATATAATCATCAATGAGCGTTGAGCAGCAGATTGGGTTCTAATCCAGTAAATATCGTAGGCTAGCTATGACATCGAAGATGATTTAAAACTGCCGGCGATCGTTAAACCAGTTTAACTTTGTCGTTCGAACGTAAACATTTAACAGTTTAGACACCCAGCTTGCTACCAGTCGTCAAGGAGGCATTTTGCAGCTGGCTGAACTAGTGCAGGAAGGAGGACCTGATACGAGACAAGGTCTAGTCGTTCGGATCGGATGAAAACACCGAGGTACCGTGTATACATTGGAGAGCACGTAAAAGAACCTTTGATAGTTGGAATTCAATATCTTAATTGTTATCCTGATAAAATTTCCCTCCTAGCACACTGTATGGCGTATGCCCGTCTTCACAAGTTCGGTTGGATCTGCAAAAAGGGACGTTAAATCCCATATCATTCATTCATTTAAAAACGGGTTGTTGGGTGGCCGAATGGTTTAACGCGTGCGCGTTGGATCATAAGGTCTGTCATTGAGTCAAGTGGCATGGTGTGGGGTGGTCTGTCCAGCTTCGTGAGTTTTCGCCCGGTTCTCTGATTTACTCCCATTGCTAAAGACCTCTACGCGTAAGTGAATTATTCAAATAAAATTGAACTTTATGTTAGTCCCGAAATGACATAATTTGTGTTGAGTGGACGTTAAACCCCATACACTCTCTCTCTCTCTCTCTCTCTCTCTCTCTCTCTCTCTCTTTAACGTATTCTGCCCGGTAAAATATTCACATCAAATTGTGGACAGACTGACTGACCGATTGACGTTGGACACATTCACATTTAATTCTTAACGTGTGACGTATAAAACTTACATTTTCACCAGCAAACCATGGTTTATCACCAAGATATTTTTCGAATCCAGCCAGGGTTGCGGGAAGATAGTTAGAGAAGTAGTCTCCCTTTACATTTTCCTGTAACAGATAAATCAGTGACGAATACAGTATCTTTACAAATGTGATGAATTGTAAATTAATTCTGTTTGGTTATTTATCCACAGTTTCACATGAACTGATTTGGGGACACTGTGGTAAAAATTAAAGAAATAGATTGACAGTTATGGACCCGTAAGACCGGGATGGCGACCAGAAAATGCACAAGGTCGCCGGCAAACGTGAACACAACACGAGATAATGTCACAAAAAATTACAAACTTGAAAAAAGCCGCGTTCTCATAGCTTTCCAGGTCAGATCGCAGAACCTTGGCGTTTGTTTTAAACATGCTCAAAACAATTAACGCCGTGACTCGGCGATCATTTGCGACCATGGAGACCCCAGCACGATATTTGGGGTTTATGGGGCTCTGACTGGGGTATTAGAGATTGATTTAATATCTTTGATCGTCATTTACATCCACTCATGTGTACATTGATTTATGCAATCTAAATAAAATATAGATCTATATTTCGTTTCGTTTTTTATACTTTCGATGGGCCACAATGTAGATCTAACAAGTTATAGTGGGAGCTCACGTTCTATGACGTCAGGTACCAAGCAAGCGACATTTGACCCGATTACGTCTGTCATTCGATTAACCAATTAGCGACCGCCATGTATTTTTTTATCTACTTTTGCTTTGTTTTGATTTCTATTACCGCTAATGTCTACCCACAGTTCCGCGCAAACAAGGTCAAACGCTCGATTCGACAGACCATTTGATTGGCTGATCCCTCATTTCAAGCAGAACACGAGTTAAATAACAACGCTTCCAGATTCAAGTGTAGTAAAGACAATTAAAATCGAAATTTTGAACTATAAAAACGAAACGAAATTGGATCTGTGTTTTAATCAGATTGAGATTTATGCATATGATGCCGAACATTACAAAGTTCTCAATTCATCATATCTTTCTAAATACCGAACGGCAATGGATCATTTTGATATTCCGATAAGAGATTCAAAATCACTCCAATGACGATCGGCGACTTTAAATACATTGTAACCACGCAAAATCGGGACTAGTAGCTATCCGAATATGCGATAGCTTTATGACCTAGATAATTTTATCCTGAATTGCTAATCACCGCGGGGACACGGGACTCAACCTATCATAACCGGAATCAGCCGATCATGCCGGAATCAGCCGATCATGACCGGAATCACTTGACGAATCTTACCGGAAATTGCGGGGTTGTTTTAGTCATACACATTTGGAAATATCGGTGACTGAATAGAAACTTACATAATCAGGATTGTAGGACACATAAACAGACCTATTTCTTAAATCCATGCCATTCTCTAGCATCATATCACAGGCAACCTTTTCTTTTATTGTTGTACCCACTACAAAATAAAAAAATACACTATTTACTGGTTCATTTAGGCTTCATTAATTCTTTTTTTAAAGAAAATAAACATCAACGGAAGGACGTTACAATATGAGATATCACAAACGCAGGCGAATGTCCATCGGCAAGATGAAGATATTAAATTAAATTTTTTAAAATGTCCTACTGTTCTGCACCGACTGGGCTAATGAAGACGGATCGAGAAAAGGAAGCTTTACCAAAACAATTTACGTTACCATTCCAAAATGTGTCCCCTGCTTTAGATAATTCTCTATATTCTTTATAATTGCTTGTTACTTAGACAATTGCTTGTTACTTAGACAATTGCTTGTTACTTAGACAATTGCTTGTTACTTAGACAATTGCTTGTTACTTAGACAATTGCTTGTTACTTACACAATTGCTTGTTACTTACACAAATTTACACAAATTGCTTGTTACTTAGTCAAATTGCTTGTTACTTACACAAATTTGAACAAATTGCTTGTAAGTTACACAAATTTAAACAAATTGCTTGTTATACTTACAAAAATTGCTTGTTACTCACACAAATTGCTTGTATACTTACACAAATTATATTTATGTCCCAGATATCTAATTATAGTATTACTCTGAGTTATTCTTACATCATCATCAATATAGTAGGGAAGCTAAAAAGATAAATTCAACAATCTAGTTTTCTGTTTTTATTTAAGCCATTGAAGTGATAATAAACAGGCTGAGCAAAAACAAATACATTCAAACGAGCGGACAATTACCGGAATTCATCAAGGAATATCGATTGTACCAGCCTATTTAAATAACAGAAGGGGCTGTTTTAGTACCAAATTGACCTGTGTAGACGTATTCAAATAACAGAAAGGCTTGTATAAGTCTGTTTGTGAAACGGAAAGGCATGTATAAGTCTGTTTATGTAACGGAAAGGCCTGTATAAGTCTGTTTATGTAACGGAAAGTCCTGTATAAGTCTGTTTAAGTAACAGAGGAGTCTGTTTTAGTCTGTTTAAGTAACAGAGGGATCTGTATTAGTCTGTTTAAGTTACAGAAGGGTTTGTATAAGCCTATTTAAATGCTAGAATGACATGTATAAGCCTATTTAAATGACAAAAAGGACCGTGCATGGGCCTGTTTTAATGAGATGAATGGGGTGATAATATTTCTGAAAACTTACATTAGGAAAATCTAAACCCAATTTGTCCTTTACGCTTGTCCATTCTTCCTTACTGAAACCTGGTGCTAGAAGCAGAAAATACGTTTTAAAGATTTCACCCATCACAAGCTATATTCACCTGGAGTCTACGTCAACTGGGGCGATCATTGAGTTAGCCCCCCCCCCCCCCATCCCCACCCACGACAGTAACATTGTTTTCGTTGGTAAATACTTGTTTCAACTTTTTTCCAATGCAGTAGAACAAAAAAAAAGTGCCACAGGGCATAAGCTTTCTGGAACACCCGATACCACTTCACACATTTGACAAAATGTTGCTGTATCTTTGTATACATATTAAATGGTGACACACCTGTGAGCGCAGATAAGGTGGGCCCAAGGGCTGAAACAGACACCTCACTATCGGGCTCTTTTTGCAAACCAGGTTATCTGATCGCAGAACAGTCTGACAAATCTGTACCTGGCTTTTACGCCCAAACGGTGTTAGATCAATCCGATTCTGGAGTCTGGAGTCGAAGTGGCTCTGTGAGTAAGACAGTGGCTCGCTAAACTTGAGATCCCAGTGTTGGCCGAGAAAGTTCATCAAGGTTTACCGACATGGTACCCCCTGACAGCGTATAGTCGGAAGAAACTCGATTTAAATAGTAGGGCTGTCCGGGCAACATTTCCCTCATAGTACACTGCATGGTGTATGAACGTCCTCTCGACATAAATTAGGTCGTATGATCGAACTCGCAAGTGTTAACCATTCGCCCCCCCCCACCTCCCCTCAATTGGTTAGCGCGAGAGAGAGAAATAAGGATTAACGTCCACTCGACACAAACTAGGTCATTTCGAGACTAACACGTGGCCCAATTTTATTTCAATAATTCGCTTGCGCGTAGAGGTCTTTAGCAGTGGGAGGAAACCGGAGGACCCAGAGAAAACCCAAGAGGTTGGACGGGCGATCCTACTCCTTGTCACGTACAATTGGGGAATCGAAACCACGCCAGTTGACTCAATGACAGACCTTATGATACAGCGCGCACGTCCTAACCATTCGGCCATCCAACCCTCCTTCAATTGGTTAGCGAGCCAGCGCCTAAATCACTGAGCCACCGTGTAATCCATGTTAATTTAATACTCACCATCACCCAATTCATATAGCCGATCCGTGAATTCTTCACCCACATAATGTAGTAGAAATCTGATAGGTTGAGCTAGCTACAAAAGGCAAAAATGTTTATAAAATTCAACAAATCTCTTTCCTACTTTGTCATTAAAAACAAATTGTTCGTTTTAATGTTGAACTTTTATGGGCAGACCATGACAAAAAACCCATGTACGCATTGGCTGCGTGTAAAATAACCACTGAGAGGAGTTGGAATTCGTAAGTAGTGGCGCCACTGTCCGGGCAAAATCATAGTGCACGTATAGGGGTCCTTGACAGTTGGAATTCAGTTGCTTTCCTGGCAAAATTTCCCTTCATTAACCCAGTCGGAGCAGAGCAGTAGGACGTTAAACCCCATTTCTTTGATCCAGTCGATATAGAAAAGTAATACGTTAAATCTAATTTCATTTCATTCCCGTGAAGAATAACTACATATATGTTGATAGAAATATTTATCTTACCCCTCGTATATTCCAATAACCCAATGTAGACATTTTACTGCAGTTTTTCGATTCAATTAAGAATTTGAGAGAGACAATACGTGTATCAAACAATTTTCACTGACAATATCTTAAAAGTGTGATCATATATATATAGTGTATGTGATATACAAGGGGAATGGTTATTGCGACCTAGAGAGATCTATTCAGTGTCTCATCACAAGATGTTTACGGGTATCGGTGGCGGACCCCCATTTATGGGTCTCTGGAACTTATCAGATCACCACACATTTACTTTGTTTCGGGACATTTCGAGGTGTTTGTTTTTTTTGAAGTTAACCACCACATCTCAGATTTTTTTATTAAAATTACAATACATGTATTGGATTATCTTTCTTACATAATCAAATTAGTTGAATAAAAAAAAATGCCTGTGCTTTATAGTTTTCTAGTTATGGAGGATGAAAAATAGGGAAATATGATATGCATGCATGCTGCATCATAGGATGATAAAATTAAACATAGTGTTTTATTTAAGATGGTACAATTTACAAGAATTATTTTTGCTGTGTTTTTAGAAACATAATATTCACATATACTTATAGGCTTTGTCTGTTTTTCAATCTTTTCCCAATGGAATAGAATATTGTTTAAAACTATACCTATTCAAGCACAGTTTCTTTGTGCTGTCATTTTCTTGAGACAATATGCATAAAGTAGGCCTATTTAACTCATTGTAGGCCTAAGACCTGATTCTACCTGGGATATTACCAGTAGATGTTGGTCCCTATTATGTGTATAGACCTAATTACTTTAATCCAAATAAAATGGGGTTTAACGTCCTGCAGCTCTGCTCCGACTGGGCTAATGAAGACGGGCATACGTCATACAGTGTGATATGAGGGAAATTTTGCCCGGACAGCTGCGCAACGGCCTACTCTTATATGGAATTCCAACTGCAAAGGGATTTTTTACGTGCACGCCAATGTGCACACGGGACGTTATCCATTGCCAGGCCTCAGTCCTGCACCACTGACAAAGGGGGACCACGCTGGAAAATCCCAATGAACTTCCTCGGTTTCTCGGTGGACAAAGGTCACTTGTGAGACCCATCCGCGATTAGGGCCCTGAAACTTAAGCTGCCGTTCATTTAACAATAGATCCGCCACCCGCCACTGACTCGAACTTCTCAAGGCTGTTTACCCACTTAACAACATAGATATTTATGTCGAAATATCTGCAGATAAAACTATATGCAAGGTAATATTTGTTTGTTAAAAGATAACGCATTACATGACTGTCATTGCAAAGTTTAGTGTTTAAAATCGTAAATGATAAATATGCATGACTCATCACGTTCAAACATTTTACATAACAACTGCCTCTTTAAAGATTTAAATGATGTCATAATCTACACTATCTCGTGCTTTAAATGACGTCATAATAACTATTATCTCATGCTGACTCAGCAGAAGTAAAAGTTGAACAAGTTTGTATCTGTACATCTACCAGGTCGAGCGCACGTAAACTCGGTGGGGTAGCTTGAAAGGTGACTTTATGGTTAGTGCTCAATTTTTCGTCACAGTTCACGAGATGTAAAAAGGACTAGCGCTAATCCCAACCCTAACCCTAACCCTAACCCTGGACCAGCCATTGTATATAATGTATTGTATGTATTTTTGACAAAACTAGGAAATATCACGAACTAATTTTTCATCATCCTAGGTCAGTGCTTATGTGGAGACTTAACTTCTCCCCCAAATTCTTAAACCTAACCCTGAACTTCTCCTCCAAATTCTTAAACCTAACCTAACCTTATTTACATCTCAGCGACCTTGAAAAAAATTGAGCTGGCCTTAACTTTTAGATTTAGCCGTGTCTTTATCCGAGGATAAATAGCCATAGTAAGGATCTACAGTAACAATGTAGCATTAATAACCACATTAAAGAAGCTGAATCGCTATTCTGTACCACCTAGAAATGCTCACAAATGGCTCGCAACGCACATAATAATGTAATATGAATGTATATAAACTGATTTACACTCAATGGTTTCTGTTTTTACTGTAATTTCTAATCAGTTGTGTTCGGCGAAATACGCGAAGAATCTGAAATGAATGGCAGTCTTTAGCATCTAATTATTCCAGTCTACATCGATTCTCCTACATGGGATATATTTAGCCTCGCATGCAACTGGGGCCCGAAAGCATTCTGGCACACGATTCGTGCCAATTACTGGATTAAATACTGGATATCACGGTAAGATAACAACATTAATGTTGATTTAAATTAACCAATAAGTCGTGTTTACAATGTCGAAGACTGTGGATAATATTGAGTTGAGGACGTGGCTTTTTAACGTATGTAAAGCAATAATGAAGTAAATGAAAGGTTTTTAAGGGAGTGATCGTAGGTTGCTAGTAAACCAGACGGGAGTCAACACAGAATAAAACTATGTTTACTCTGTGGAGTCTAAACATGTTTACTCTGTAGAATCTAAACATGTTTACTCTGTGGAGTCTAAACATGTTTACTCAGTGGAGTCTAAACATGTTTACTCTGTAGAGTCTAAACATGTTTACTCTGTAGAGTCTATATATGTTTACTCTGTAGAGTCTATATATTTAGCATTGTAAACCCTTTAGCAGTTCCATGAGCCAAAGCCCCATATACGCTTTCACTCGGCAAACCTCAGCCGATTCCAGTACCCAGTATGTTGCTATAATGCAGTATAAGAATTGCATTAATTCAGTCTTCACTTGACAACTCATATTTTACTCCCGTGGGATCACTTCCTATGTAACCATATATTTACCATTCAATAGTCAATGTATGTGGTTGGGGGGGGGGGGGTTACCACGAGGTATGTTATTGATTCAAGTGGCGAGGTTTTGATTCCCCGCTTGTATGTTTGTTCCGAAATGTATCTGGTTTGTGTCGAGTGAACGTTAAACCCCCCCCCCTCTCTCTCTCTCTCTCTCTCTCTCCCTCTCTCTCTCTCCCTCTCTCTGTGGCCACCACCCCCTGCAGGAGTCAGGTGAAGGAGAACGCTTCCATCCACCTTACACCTCGAACATATATCTATCATTCTATATTTTTAGCCCTCTGCTAAAAATAAAAAATAAAACCAGTACAGAAATATTATGAAAGTAAAGAGGTGTCCGTAAGTATGTTTACTCAGTGGAGTATATTATGTTATTGCTATATATTATGTATTGGTATGTGTAAAGTCAACAAGTATCTATATTAAAGGGCTAATCCCGATATTTTTTGGAGAATAAAACTGCTTAATTTTGTGTTAAAATCCCTTAAATTCATCTAGCTAAGGGCCGAGCAACTAACTCAATATTTGTGATACGTTTTCAAACAACTTAAACCCGTCAGTCTTCATCTGGAAATGGAGACCCGTGTCCCAAGCTGTATTATGCGGTGTCTGCATAAAAGTAGACTTTTATTTTATAATAATAATGTGTAGGTGAAATTTACCTTTCGTTATCAAGTAGAGGTCATGGTTCATTCACTATATAGACCTCTCAAGGAACGGGAATCGATTATCAGGTCACCCAACGAAAAAACTGACCCGAAATCTTAAAAGGGTTACGTGTCCGGATAAGCAGTTTGACGTTCACGTCCAAACGACTGAATATTTTGAGCTGGAGGCTGCTGTGCGGATTGGTGACGTCACAGTTCCCCCGTCCCAGTCGGCCCGGAATCTGGGCGTAATATTTGACTCTTCCGGCTCTTTAGGCGAGCATGTTGTCGCCGTGTGTCGTGCTGCGTCGTACTCTCTCTGGCGTATAGGAAAATTGAGGAATCTTTTGGACCAAAGAAGTACGGAAAAATTAGTTCATGGTTTTGTTACATCCAGATTGGATTACTGCAACAGTTTACTTTTCGGCCTGCCTTCGTATCAAATTCAGAAATTACAGCTAATCCAGAATTCTGCTGCTCGGCTAGTTGCCAGGATGTCGCATCGATCGCGTGATTCTATCACGCCCATGCTACGTGAGCTCCATTGGCTTCCGGTAGAGAGCAGAATTCGCTTCAAAATTCTGTGTATTATTTTCAGAAGTATTCACCTTCGTACGGCGCCGCGTTACCTCAGTGAGCTGGTGTCCGTTCAGAGATCCGGAAGAGTCACTCGTAGTTCGGATGAGATCCGACTCGAACCACCCTCCACGAGAGAGGCACGCCATTTTACCGCATATGCAAAGCGCTCACTGACAGTCTGTGGGCCCGAACTGTGGAATGTTCTCCCTCGAAATCTTAGGGCAATCGATATTTACAGTCAATTTAAGGCCACTCTCAAAACGTTTCTTTTTAGGCACTACTACTTTTAAATTAATGATTGTATCTTTATCACATATCACGTATTCTTATTATGTATATTATGATATTTTTATTTTTATTGTGTTCTGTGTTATATGTATAAATTGTAAAGCCTACTGAGATAATGTATGGAGTGGGCTCTAAATATATTAATAATAATAATAATAATAGAAGGTAAATACACCATTCCTCTATATTTTTTTTAGGCTCTTTTGAAATCGGGATAGTCCCTTTAATATATAACACTACCAAGATCTTAATAAGATTTACGGGCGATTTAATTACCGCAATAAATACTGTCACGGTCAATATGTTATTACACATAATCCATTATGAATACATGGTAATGACCAGCGAAATTGACAACGGTTCATTAATCCCGTATATATAATTCTTTAATTTTATTACATAGCAACCACTGTAAACAAATGCATTTATAACACCTATTGAAAGAAGGAAGTAGATTAATAGGAGAGGGTCAATATTGGAGAACTCACATCAAGCGGAGGAACTGTATTTGTGTCTTGACAATTGTGTTGAACTTCTTTAGTGAGATAGGTTTTATTGTGGATTTATCAAGATACATTTAAACTTAAAATGGGAGCAGGATGTGTAAGATCTATTTTTCTTTTTATTCTGTGGGTCTTATTCACGAAAACTTAATCTAAAATATCTGAAAGATTCATACTTTTGATTGAGTTTTATTTTAAGTTTTTGTCAATGGTCCCCCCTTGTCAGTGGTGCAGGACGGAGGGCCTGACAAGGACAGCTGTCTAGTCGTTCTGATTGGACGAAAAACCGAGGTCCTGTGACGTGCACGTAAAAGATCCCTTGGTAGTTGGAATTCGATATAAGAGTAAGCCATAGTGCGGCTGCACGGGCAAATGTCCCTCATAGCACACTGTATGCTCGTCTTCGTTAGTCTAGTCGGAGCAGAACAGTAGGACGTTTAAACCAATTTCATTTCATTTCACATGCAATGAAGCGACCATATTAGCACAGGCATTATACTAAGTTAAAGAGTTGGGGGTTGGATGGCCGAATGGTGCGCACGTGTGCGCTCTATCATAAGGTCTGTCATTGAGTCAACTGGCGGGCTTTCGATTCTTCGGTTGAACGTGGCAAGGAGTATGATCGCAAGCCAATTATTAAATTAAAATTGAACCATGTGTTAGTCCCGAAATGACCTAGTTTGTGTCGAGTGGACGTTAAATCCTCCCTCTCTCTCTCTCTCTCTCTCTCTCTCTCTCTCTCTCTCTCTCTCTCGTGTTATGACACAGTTAGAATCGTGTCATGAATTCCGCCCCATATATCCCTGATACTGTGGTTACTAGAAAGAAATTAGCGTTATATCTAGCAGATTGTCTGCGACATCATTGCTGTGGTCAACTACTGCATCTTGCAAAAAATGACCACTTGTCGAAACAAAACAATTGAAGTATATTATATAATTATGTCAACATTTTAATATTGATATATATTGTCCATTTTTCTGTAATTGTTCATTTTACAATTATTGTCCATTTTATTTCACAGAGTTCAAGTCGAACTGTACAAGAGGACGCTAAAACTCCACACAAACCTAATGAGAATACAACAAACGTAAGTATACATTACTACAATAACTTTAAAGGCCGATCCATTATTTCTATTATGGTTTTTTTTTCTAAATCATTGTTTTCGTTTTTCATTTTGAACGAAGCCTGTTATCATTACAGGTCCTGGACTGTACAGCGCACTGGACGCCCCCGGCCGGCCCCCGGATCAAATTTACTTGATCTGATCTCTGTTGTTTATTTCTTGCAATGTCTGTGTAGTTTGTCCACAGGTTTGTCCTGTTGGTTTTGTTTGTGTGTAGTGCGGTCCTCCTGTATTTGCTATCCTGTATTTATTGTATATATAATTTGATTTCTTGCTATTATTCTGTCATTACTTACTTGAGAACGACAAGAGGAACTTGTTGAAACGTAGTGTGAAATAAATCCAGCGATTGTTTTCCATATAAATTTGTGTTTTATATGCTATCACAGTGCAATAATTCACGTAAATTACATGTATATTATGTGCTTGAGAGTAAACATAAATAATATATGATATATCTAAATAAATAAATCGCTTCGAGGTATATATTCCTTTGATCTAGAGTAGAAAAAAAAATCGAGACTGGCAGCTCGTTTCAATATTGTTATCAATATTGTGATTATAGAGCACATATCGGAATGTTTATTTTTTTTAAATGTTATAGGCTAACGGGGAGATAATTTGTAACCTAGCATGACATGACCTGAACATTAGTGTTAATAGGAAGGCCCGTAAAACACTCTTGAAAGTTGGGAGTTCAATTGCCCTCAAGGCGTATGCCCGTCTTCATAATCCCGGTCGGTGCAGAAAAGTAGGAAGTTAAACCCCAATTCATTCATTCAATAGGGAGGGATTAATAGTCGGAATCCTACCTGGAGTAACCTGTCTTGATATATGAAATGAAATGAAATGAAATAGGGTTTAAAGTCCTACTGTTTTGCTACGAACTAATCTAATGAAGACGGCCATGCGCCATACAGTGTGCCATGAGGGTCTCAGTTTTTCGTCTCATCCGAATGATTACACAGCTGTTCTTGTCAGGTCCTCCGTCCTGCATCACTTATAAGGGGGGACCACGCCGGAAAATCTGGATGTATTTTCTCGAATCTTGATATATGGAAATCAGTAAATTGTTTAATCTCGGTCACTTAATTCCCCTTCTCCAATTATTAAATTTTAACACATTGATATAAAAAAGGGAACATGAATATGATTATGGTGAGTGCCTTCCCCAACCACTCCCCTTTGATCCACCCACGTACCTACTTTTACCAACAAGGTTTTGAAGCCTAGATATAATCAATATTTCCAAAAGAGGATTATAAGAATATTTTTTTTACATTTTAACAGAAAACTACCATTCCTACAGTAACTATAGAAACCGTCAACACATCTGAAACAGAACAACAACAACAACAACAACAACAGGAACAAGAACAAGAACAAGAACCAGAACCAGAACCGGTTAATGATAACCAGTTAGAACAAGAACAGGTTAATGACGAGGATGTCAGAGGGCGAGAAGAATTCAGTAATTTTGTGAAAGAAGCGTTGCAGGTTCACAATGAACTGCGAGCCAAACACGGTGTTCCACCATTAACAATTAACAAAGAACTGTGCGAAAAAGCGCAAGAATGGTCCGATCATTTAGCTAAAACTGAACAATTTGAACATAGTCCCGATAACAGACGCTTTATGTGGAATGGTGAGGAAACGTCAATGGGTGAAAATCTGGCCGGTGGTAGTTATGATTTATCTGGTCAGTAAACTATTCTTATATTTCATCTATGCTGGTGCTTTTCACTTTATGGGCGGTGTCTGTGTTTCTTCTAAAACAGCTAATTCTCCTAAACGGCGAATGGCGAACGCCTAAAAATTAGGTATAATGCGACTTGATGATCGGGATTCCTTCATTTCCCCCGTATTTTTTATTCTGTTATAAAAAATTAGGACTACCGAGAAATTTTGGTCGAAAAACTGCAAATAATCATTATTATTTCATCAGCGTAAATGGCATTTTAAATATACGCCTTCTCGTTTTATCAGCACAAGGCCTTTCTTCGTTTCGTTGTGAATTTTCCGATAGCTCTAAGTCTTACAGCAGAATAAAAACAGGAATAAAGGAATCCCGATCATCAAGTCGCATTATCCCTATTTTTTTGCCGTTCGCCATTCGCCGTTTTAGGGGAATCACAGCCACCGCTTCATGGGAATAGCAGGAGTGTGGTGTGCCGTATGAATGTTCGTATATCTGGGTCACCTTGATTGTGCTGTCCTTTGTGGTCTAGATTTTAAATATTATATGCTTCCTACTGACTTTTTCAAAGAGATTTACGGATTTCATGCCTGGGATCGTTAACATTTGGGACCTAGAAATTGACAAAAGTGGGTCGCAACGCATATAATACTGTAATATGAATGTATAAAAACTGATTTACATTCAATGGTTTCCGTTTTTACTCCAATTTCAAATCAGTTATGTTCGGCGAAATAAGCCAGCAGTCTCAAGCGAGTGCAAATTTCTAGCGTCTGGTTATTCCAGTCTACATACGCCGTTTGATTTGGTGCAATGTGTCTAGCCTCGTCCCTCGAGTCTCTTGATACAACTGGGGCTGAAGCGCATTATGGTACACGATTCGTATACCAATGGTAAAATGTTTATTTTGTCTTAAATAGTGGATATCAAAAGCCCATCTTTTCCCGGTAAGATCACAACATGAATGTTGATTTAATTTGACAAATAAATCGTGTTTTCAATGTTGAAGATTTTGGATGATATTAAGTTACAGACTTAGCTACTTTAAACTATTAGACCTACACTACTACATTTCTTCTGGCTTTATTTTGTTGATGTAGGCGTAGAAACGATAATCCGGTTCCGAGAAATCCCGGTTTTAGACAACGTAATCAGGATTCCGGGAAATCTATTCCTGTAAATCATCATAAATGATCATTTTATTGATAATTTCTATTTTCAGGTAAAGAAGCTACTATGATGTGGTATAATGAAATAAAAGATTATAATTTTAACAAACAGGGTTTTACAATGGGCACAGGTAGGAAAAACCGACTATTTATTGGTAAAAAAAAGAAAATGATGTCTTTTCTTTCGAATGCATTTTGTGATCCAGTACTTGCTTCACGGGGGCCTGACTAGGGTAGCTGTCTAGTCGTTCGGATGGCAAAAAGAATTAAGGTCCCGTGTACACATTGGCATACACGTAAAAGGTCCCTTGACAATTGGAATTCGATATAAGAGTAGGTCGTAGTGCCGCTGTCTAGGTAAAATTTCCCTCCTGGCACACTGTATGTCCGTCTTCATTAGCCCAGTTCGGAGCAGAACAGTAGGACGTTAAACCCCATTTCATTTCATTTCACTACTTGCCTCATGCTAGTAAATAAAGTTATATGAAAATCAATGGGGATATTCAATCGGTCCTAGCGAGTAATGCGTTTACAATAATGAGTGGGTAAATTGGTAATCTAGGTGTTACCCAGAGCTAGAGCCGCGGTGTCTCACTGAGTAAGACTTTGGTTCGATAACCTGAAGGTCCCGTGTTTGATCTGGGTGTTGGCCGAGAAAGTTCATCGTATAGTCGTTTGGATGGAACCAATAACCGAGGTCCCGTGTACACATTGGCGTGTACGTAAAAGAACCCATTGTCAGCTGCAATTCGATATAAGAGTAGGCAGTAGTGTCGCTGCCCGGGTAAAATTTCCCTCATAGCATACTGTTTGTCGCATACCCGTCTTCATTAGTCCAGTCAGAGCAGAACAGTTGGAAGTTAAACCCCATTTCATTTCATATCGTTACCCAGAGCTATTCTCTCGATAATAATAATATAGTATGGGTGTTCGAGACTAAGAGGAGATAAGGCGGTGTGGGGGCGTATTTTGTTGGTATTTGAGGAGATGGGGGCAAAAAGAAACCAGATAAGCATTCTGTTTGTATTTTATATGTTTTATCATTCAACTTGGTACCTAAAATTAAATTTCATTTTTTTTTTTTTTTTTTCAGGTCATTTTACGCAAGTCGTGTGGAAAGATACTAAAGTTTTAGGTATAGCTAAATCCACGGGACCTAAAGGAAATACAATTGTTACAGCAAATTATTTACCACCAGGAAATTTTCAAGGAGATTTTGAAGAAAATGTACTTCCACTGATCTAAGCTCAAACCCCCCGTTTATGTTTCGTCCTAAATTATTAAATACTATGTGTTTTGTACTCTTGAGTAGAGCATTCAAATAATTCCGTACCATTCCAAGCTGATAAAAACACAGATCCTATTTCGTCTCGTTTTTTATAGTTCAAAATTTCATTTTACTTGTCTTTACTACACTAGGTTCTGGAGGTTTTTGGCGTGAGGTACACGGAACTGTGGGTAACCCACTAGAAACATCAACGCTGATTGGTTAATCAAATGTCTGACGTCATAGGGTCAAAATCCGCTTGTATGACACCTGACGCAACCCCCCGCTACAACTGTTCAGATCTAAATGTAGTAGAGGGCACAAAAGTATAAAATAAAAAACGAAACGAAATATAGATCAGTATTTTAATCAGATTCGTACCATTCAGGATTACTATTATCTTGTTATATCAGAATGGATATTGTCACACGAAAACCCGGGATTCACCAGTTTAAAAATGCATTATGTAAGATTTAGATAAAGAGCTGGCCTTTCTTGCTATAATAGATTAATGAGAAATGAATATATTGAAAATTTGACAAGTTTTAGCACAGATTGTTTATTATCATATTGACAGTCTCACGTGTGTTCTAATCCATTTCAAACTCGGCAGTCCGATGGGTTAGAGAGTTGATTATCAGCTTGTCATGTGAGAAATGCCTAAATTCTAAATAATAATTTATATAACTTTGTAGTCATAATAAAAACTTGCTATAATCAGATTTAGCTCTTACATGTACATAATGTATCTTTAATAAAAGGCCTTAAAGGTGTCATAAATATGAATGAAAAACTAAATATAAAGAGAAATGAAATTCTACAGCTATTTTGTTAATAAATTTGTTTTATCATTGCTGTATACATCTTTTGATTGTTTTATTAAAATAACAAAACTCGTGGACAAATATATTCCAAGCGCCTGACCAAAAAATCAAAGAAAAGAAAATCTGTTCAGTGCTGTCTAAGAGTATCCAGCTTGTCTGGTGCAGTGCGTGCCTTTTACCGAAATAAATCTCAGAGTAATTCAGCGAGCATACAAATATACGTTGGTCTTTACGGCTTTGTTGGGAAATATAAGTGGTTTGTATCCATACAGTCTTATATAGAGTAACCTCCCTTTATCCATCCTATCAAGACACGATCATGAAATGGCGCGCTCATCAAAATCAATTTTATTTTATATGCTGCAGTGCCAGTGGCAGATGTAATGTATCCCATGGGCCCATAAAATAATTTAATAAATAAATTACTTTGTTTTCCCTTTTTACTCAAAACTATAAATTTTAATTTTATCTAAAAACTTAATTAAGCGGCTAAATCAAAAAATACCCATTACATTCCCTAAGAATGTTCTGCACCGACGGGGCTAATGAACATACGCTATATTTAAAATTCCAACTGTTAAGGGTTCTTTTACGTGCACGCCAATGTGTACAAGGGACCTAGCTTTTTCGCCCCATCCGAACGACTATACGCTGTATGTTGCCAGACCCTCCTTCTTGCATCACAGATGAACTTTCTCTTCCGGGACCTCCAAGTTAGCGAGCCAGCGTCTAAGCTTGATTAATAGTTACGTCACATTCTCTTTAAAATAATCTGTATCTTCCTATTTCCCACGAACTAGGTAATACTAACGTTTGATATGCAATAATACAAAGGACACCGTGCTTTGTATATTAGCAATTCCATTTAGTCATTTGCATCATCAAGATAGAAAAAAATGTTTGATGTGAAATCAGTTTGTAAATTTAACGATTGTAAATGTGTGATGTGTGATAACATAGAATAGGATTACTGATCTATGTGAGTCACAATCAGTTCAATAATTGTTCACATCTGTAGATTTGATGACAAAAAATAGAAGCAATTTGAATATCTCCCTCGTTTAAATTCTCATCTGTGTTTAAAGGAGAAAAAGATTAAAGGATACCACGAGGAAATGATATAATCAATTGGACTAACGCTTGCTGACTGATACTAAAATACAAAATATTTCATGGATACGAATTGCTGGTCAAATTGATATCGGGAATGCTTTGCATTTTCACTGCATATAATCAATCGTATGCAGGGTACTTATTCCAAGCGTTCTTAAAGTTAAGTGATAAGCGTCTAGTCGTTCGAATGGGACAAAAAAACAGATTCGACCGCCTAATCGTTTACGTGCACTTACAAGAACCATTGGCAGTTGGAATTGGATTACGAGTAGGCGAAACCACTGCTGTCTAGACGATTGCTGCAGAACCCCATTTCATTCAGGCAAAAAACCTCGTTAAAGCGTGCGGGCGAGAGAGAGAGAGAGAAAGAGAGAGAGAGAGAGAGGGGGTTTAACGTCGACACAAACTAGGTAATTTCGGGACTAACACATGGTGCAATTTTATTTCAATAATTCGCTTGCGCGTAGGGGATCTTTAGCAGTGGGGGGGACATGGAGGACCCACAGAAAACCCACGATGTTGGCCAGGCAACCCTAGTCCTTGCCACGTACAACCGAAAAATCGAAACCACGCCAGTTGGCTCTATGGCAGACCTTATAATACAACGCGCACTCGCTAACCATTCAGCCACCCAATTAACCCTGTGGTTAATACTGGTTAAACCTATGTCTACATGGTGATATATGTAAATGGGTGGTCTGACATTTACATGGTATATCTGTCACTATGTAAATTAGTCTATTCAACAGTTAGTTGAAAGCAAGCATGTATTTATCTGATTGGGGTATTTTTAGTTTTAAATTGCTGCAGGAGATTAATAGTGTGTTAACACATCACAAACTGTTCAAGTTAAATATTTGTTTAACAAGTAACAACCCTGCCTTATAGCAAGAATCTTGAACCAGCTTTTGAAGTTGTGAATTATTCAGATTTTAATCACTTCCATTACCATTCCTGATTACTCAAAATAAAAACAATATCGCCATTTTGTTTACTTATCTTCTAGATAAACCGCTGGCCATCTGTTACGGAATGGCTTAAAAAGTTCGTTGTGTATTTAGCGTAGGGGTTACGGATTCATATCCGTTAGTTCGATATTACCAGGACCTGTACGAAGTTTTTATCGCGAACAGGAAACTAAAAGAATTTTAAAAGGTGCTGCGTCCGGGAACTAGCCATAAGCATCCATTGCATTGCATTGTACATTCTCGGAGACTGTAGTCATACAGGCTTCACTCGAGAAAGAAATGAAATGAAATGAATTGGGCTTTAACGTCCTACTGTTCTGCTCCTAACCTGGGCTAATGAAGACGGGCATACGCCATACAGTGTGCTTTGAGGGAAATTTTGCCCGGGCAGCGGCACTACGGCCTACTCTTATATCGAATTCCAACTGCCAAGGGATCTTTTTCGTGCACGCCAATGTGTACACGGGACCTCGGTTTTTCGTCCCATCCGAACACAACTAGACAGCTGTCCTTGTCAGGCCCTCCATCCTGCATCACTGACAAGGGGAAACCACGCCGGAAAATCTGAATGAACTTTCTCGGCCAATGCAGGGATCGAACACCCGACCTCCAGGCTAGCGAGCCAGCGTCTTACCCACTTAGCCACGTAATCCCCCCACTCAAGAAAGAACAGCGTGGGGCATTTCTTATTTTAATCATTCGAATTACCAATCTGAATAAAACACAGATCCTATTTCGTTTCGTATTTACAGTTCAGAATTTCGTTTTAGTTGTCTTTACTACACTAGGATCTGGAAGAGTTGTTATCATTGACGTGTTCTCAATGGTGTGAGGGATTAGCCAATGAAACGGTCTGTTACGGTGAGCTTTAGGCGTGTTTTGCACGGAGCTGTGGGTAATCCACTTGGAACATTAATGCTGATTGGTTAATCAAATGTCTTACGTCATAGGGTCAAAAGCCGCTCGTATGACCTCTGACGCGACCTATTGCTACAACCGGTCAGATATTCATGTAGTGTAGGCTGATGAAGACATACATGCGCCATTCAGTGTGCTATGAGAGAAATTTTTCCCGGACAGCGGTACTACGGCCTATTCTTGTATCGAATTCCAACTTCCAACGGATCTTTTACGTGCACGCCAATGTGTACACAGGACCTCGGGTTTTCGTCCTATCCTAACGACTAGACAGCTGTCCTTGTCTTACTCACTTGCAGAAATCATCGACATTTATTTCTGATGTCGACAATAATGGACTGAATGGAAATGGCATATTTTGAAAGGGAATAAAGATACCACCGCCACGTGCAAGCGAATTATTGAAATAAAATTGAACCATATGCTAGTCCCGAAATGACCTAGTTTGTGTCGAGTAGACGCTAAACCCTATTTCTCTCTCTCTCTCTCTTTCTCTCGACCTGGTGAATAAACTTAAATTTACTTTTTTCATCGATTGAAATTCTAGAAATATCCAGGAGCAAAACTGCAAGTTTTATTCTGTAAATTCGGTACATGTTTAGTTTTTGAATAAATGGCATCCAGTAATTACAGTAAAGGAGATAAAAAATAAGAAATTCATCGCCTGGATCATTCAACTGTTAAATGAACTAGAAATAGATAGATTAAAACTGATAGATTCCGATAACAGATCGATTTTCTTATTTATTAATCGATAAATGATGTCATGCATTTTTAGAATCGCCATTTTATTTATGGATATCGTGCCAGACGTCTTAGCGATATAATCACACCCTCTTGTTAAACTATTATTCTGATAACAGCGCATTCTGTGTGGGATAAAGCACGAGACTGCGGAAAGAAAGCCTGAAAAAAATAACCCGAGAGAAATAATAACCGAAGCCGGCAAGCCGAGGGTTTTCTGTCGTAGGTTTTTTTCTGAAGTCTTTCTTCCCCAGCATAAACGAAGTCGGGGACTTTATTTTGCTTATAAACCGTCTATGTTTACATGTATGTAAAATGAGAATATCCCAGAATTCCAGTAATAAAAACCTTAGGTCATGTTTTCTTGTAGAAAAAAATCCCTACCCTGGAAGAATAACCTGTTTCAGGTTTAAAGAAAAACTTTGAGAAGAATAACCCCAAATTCCCCTGTATATATCCAAAGCCGCCGCCGACTTCCAGACCGCAAGTTATTACGGTAATAGAATATACCCTAAAGATCAAAGAGATTTACCGTTATAGGTTTATAAGTGTAGGATAAAGCATGAGACTGGGGTTATGCTGCGAAAGAAAGACTGACGAAAATAACCCGAGAAAAAGAAAAACCGAAACCAAAATACCGAGGTTTTTCTGTCGAAGGTTTTTTTATGAAGTCTTTCTTCCCCAGCATAACCGAAGTCGAGGAATTTATCTTGCTTTTAATATAAACCTATAATGGTTAACCTCTTCGATCTTTGGGGTATATTCTATGCCCAGAACAACTTGCGGCATGAAAGTCGGTGGCGGCTTTGGATATATACAGATGAATTTGGGGTTATTCTTCTGAAAGTTTTTCTTTAAACCTGTAACGGGTTATTCTTCCAGAGTAGGTTATTTTTCCATAAGGAAACATGATATAAGGTTTTTCTCATTTTGCGTAGGCTATATGTAAACATTGACGGTTTTTAAGCAAGATAAAGTCATCGACTTCGGTCATGCCGGCCTCGGTTTGTCTCTTTCTCGGGTTATTTTCGTCAATCTGTCTTTCCCTAGCATAACCTCGGTCTCGTGCTTTATCCTACATATAAACAGTCTATGTTTACATCTACGCAAAAAGAGAATATCCAAAAATTCATATAAGAAAAACCTATATTATAGGATCTGTGTTTTGATCTGCTTGTTGTATTGTTCATATTACTATAA